AAGTACAGCAGGTTGTCCAGTAATTGGACTGTTGCAGGTTTGATCCTGGCTCTCATCAGAGAATTCTGCTGTTGTGTCCATGAGCAAAAAGCTTACCCCTCCCTGCCTGCTGCTGGTGGCCAGAGGGAATGATGAGCCTGTGTATGGAAGGCTCGCCTGTGTCAGTGTTTGTAGCTGTGTGGCTACATTGTAGCTCATTCCCACCAGTGTGTGAATGTGTGTGTGTGACAGACTGTAGTGTAAAGCGCTTTGAGTCCTCTGACTCAGAAAGGTTCTGGTTCATCTCACTCATCTCAGCCTTTTACAGCAATACACGAGAATGTCTGCTACAGAGGGGAACAACAGGCCAGTTAGCTGTTCAAGAGAATGAAAATGCTGCAATTTAAAGAGAAACAAAAACCATTTTGATATTATTGGCTGCTATTGAAATTAATATGTAACATCAAAGGTTTTCTGTATTGGTTTTTACTCGTTTGACACAACTTTTGCATATCATGCATATACATTAAACCTTTAAGCCACTTCTCCTCTCACTCCTAATGTCAAAATTTGATAGATCTAAGGTTCTGAGACAATTTAGTTTGTTTCGCACAACTGGCCTAACTTAATTTGGAGTATTTTGGTTAAAGTGCCATAAATTCATCACACACTGGTGAAATTGATCCCTGCATTTGAGAGATGATCCCGACCGGGAATTAAACCCACATCTCCCAGTCCCAGGGAGGACAGGCCACTGAGAAGGTGTTATAAGTTTTAATGGTAGGAGATGTTATTAGTTTTTTAAAACGATTTTGTTTTTTCTTCTTTATGGGGGGAAGGGTGTACAGGGATGTACATAAATCATACTCTGGAAGAAAAAAGCTCAGATGTTCCTGTTTCAATACAGAGAAATACACTGGAAGAGAAAGTAGCCTCAGACAGCGGCATTTGGATTCTTACTTCATGACATTTGGACATCTCGCCTCTGATTAGCTAACAGCAATGTTGATGTTGTACCTCCACAAATCACAGAACGCCTCTCACTAAACTGTCTGCTTGACCCTTACCAATCTGGGTTCAAAAATGTTCACTCTACTGAAACAGCGCTGCATTTGACACTGTCAACCATGGCTTCCTTTTGTCCATACACTAGTATGGACATCACAGGGAAAGCTCACTCCTGGTTTGAATTGTACCTGACAGGACGTTCTTTCAGTGTATCTTAGCTCGGACGATCTTCTGCTGTTCATCATCTTTCCACAGGAGTGCCCCAGGGCTCTGTCCTAGGATCTCTTCTCTTTGCTACATTCACCACCTCACTGGGTGAGATCATTCTATCACATGGCTTCTCCTACCACTGCTATGCCGACAACACCCTGCTCTATCTGTCAAATTCTGCCAGATGACCTCACAGTCTCTGCACTAATCTCGGACTGTCTTTCTGACATATCAACATGGATGAAATCCCACTATCTCCAACAAAACTGAATTACTTGTCATCCCATCGAAACCATCCATACAGCACAATATCTCAATCCAAAGTAATTCTCTATCTCTGGCTCCTTCAAAGGCAATTCGAAACTTGTGTGTTGCGATGACTAGCTGACCTTTAAAGATCATGTTGCCTCTGTTGCTCATTCATGCCACTTTGCGCTGTATAACATACGAAATATCAAACCATACCTAACACCATATACCACCCAGCTCTTTGTGCAATCTACTGTCATCTCCCGCCTCGATTACTGTAATGCCCTTCTAACTGGTCTTCCAGTCTGTACTGTGAGACCTCTTCAAATGGTCCAGAATGCAGCGGCACATCTGGTCTTCAATCAGCCAAAAAGAGCACATGTCACCCCTCTATTCGTTGAGCTTGATTGGCCACCACTAGCAGCACGCATCACATTCAAATCGCAAGCACTAGCATACAAAGTCCTGAATGGTACGGCTCCCATCTACCTGAATCCTCTTGCAAAGGCTTACGTCTCGGCCCGGCCACTCCGGTCATCATGGGATTGTCAGCTAGCAGTGCCTACACCACGCTCAGAACAATCCAGACTCTTCTCATGTGTCATTCCACAGATGTGGAATGACCTACAAAGCACTACTAGAACAGGGGCTTCCTTGTTGGTTTTCAAGAAACTCCTGAAGACCCAGCTGTTCAGAGAGCATCTTCCAAACTAGCACCCTCCCTGCACCTGTCCCCTGCTCTACTGCACACTCCATGTTCACTTCCCTCTATGATTGATTATGCTGCCTCACTGCCAACGAGGACTGACTGAATAGTGTTTGTTGTTAGCCTCAAGGGCAACCTGATGGCTTGATTATCACCTGTAAGTCGTTTTGGACAAAAGCGTCTGCTAAATACATGAACATAGACAAATAACGCAACCATTGAGGAGTTCTGCCATGCGGTGGAGTTGCTGACGCTAATAGTTTGCTTCTACGAGCCAAAACGTTGCTGCTGTTTCCTGGATGCTAAAACAACAACAGCTTTCCCTGTTGTGAATCAAAGATGGGTGAGTCCATAAATTTTAAGTGACAGTGTGACGTAGATCTGTCAGGATTTTCTAATCTAAGAGTTTCATCGTCTATTTTCTGTCAGAAGCTAATGCAGGAGATGGGTGTAGGAGAATATGTTCATGTTCAGCCTGCATGAAAAACTCAGAGTAACAGATTATAATAAAAAATAATAAGTAAGAATATGTTGTTATTGAAGGACGTCTTTAAACAAAATTATTTTAACATTGTTTTGTATCTGATGCAGAAACTTTTAAAATCATCTGATACATAAATTCTACAAAACCAGATGTTTTCCAATATTGGGTAACTGGTCAAATAAATGTGTTAGACTATATAAAGCTAGATAATCTTTTATTGTTAGATTTAGGCTTCATTTACTACAGCATCACTGATGTGAAAAATCACAATAGAAGTTAAACTCTTTTTGCACGAGGATTTTTTGGTTGAATTTTGTTCTTTTATTTTTATATCTGTAATAGCTTGAAGATAGTGCAGTAATAGAAAAAATAAATAAATAACAAATGCAAAATGAAGATTCGTCATCATCGTCTTCCTCCGCTTATCCGGGTCCGGGTCGCGAGGGCAGCATCCCAACTAGGGAGCTCCAGACCGTCCTCTCCCCGGCCTTGTCCACCAGCTCCTCCGGCAGGACCCCAAGGCGTTCCCGGACCAGATTGGAGATGTAACCTCTCCAGCGTGTCCTAGGTCGACCCGGGGGCCTCCTACCGGCAGGACATGCCCGAAACACCTCCCCAGGGAGGCGTCCAGGAGGCATCCTGACCTGATGCCCAAACCACCTCAACTGGCTCCTTTCGATCCGGAGGAGCAGCGGTTCTACTCCGAGTCCATCCTGAATGTCCGAGCTCCTCACCCTATCTCTAAGGCTGAGCCCGGCCACCGTACGGAGGAAACTCATTTCGGCCGCTTGTATCCGCGATCTCGTTCTTTCGGTCATTACCCAAAGCTCATGACCATAGGTGAGGATTGGGACGTAGATCGACCGGTAAATCGAGAGCCTGGCCTTCTGGCTCAGCTCTCTCTTCACCACGACAGATCGGCTCAGCGTCCGCATCACTGCAGACGCCGAACCAATCCGCCTGTCGATCTCCCGATCCCTCCTACCCTCACTCGTGAACAAGACCCCGAGATACTTAAACTCCTCCACTTGAGGTAGGACCTCTCCCCCGACCCGGAGTTGGCAAGCCACCCTTTTCCGGTCGAGAACCATGGTCTCAGATTTGGAGGTGCTGATCCTCATCCCAGCCGCTTCACACTCGGTCGCGAACCTACCCAGCAAGAGCTGAAGGTCAGAGCTGGATGAAGCTAGGAGGACCACATCATCCGCAAAAAGCAGAGACGAGATTCTCCTGCCACCAAACTCGACACACTCCACACCACGGCTGCGTCTAGAAATTCTGTCCATAAAGGTAATGAACAGAACCGGTGACAAAGGGCAGCCCTGGCGGAGTCCAACCCTCACCGGGAACAGGTCCGACTTACTACCGGCTATGCGGACCAAACTCACGCTCCTCTGGTAAAGGGACTGAATGGCCCTTAACAGAAAGCCACCCACCCCATACTCCTGGAGCGTCCCCCACAGGGTGCCCCTGGGGACACGGTCATAAGCCTTCTCCAAATCCACGAAACACAAATGAAGATTATTTCAGGTAATTTTTGTACTCCCTCTGAACCATTTTGAATATTAATTTTAGTTTATTTGTACAGCTGTGGACTGTTTATTTCTTATTCATTACTGGCATGACTGGTATTTGCTTTGCAAGTGTGTGTGTGTGAGTGTGTGTGTGTGTGTGTGTGCGCGCGCGTGCGTGTGTGCGAGTGTGTACCCATGCATGTATGTGTGTGTATGCAGATGTTGGACAAAACAAATGATAATCTTGACAGTGAATCTGTGATATGAAATGAATTTGTGGCCAGTAACATTTGGGATAGGGAAGTCTGCCTTTCTGGTGAAACTGGAATCTCCAGATCCATATAACAGTCCCACTTCCATCACCAGCTTTTCACTACAGCAGTATGCCTGTGGGTGCAGCCTTGATCTCCCTGCAGTCTAAATTATGGGCCATTCCCATCTGTACCGGGTCGGCCCGGGCCGAGTAGCCCCATTCGGCCCCAGCCTGGCCCGGTTGATTCCACACATCCTTGCCTTAAGCCCATGTGGGCTGATTCTACCCACCAATCAGAGGCTTGCTCTAATGGAAGGTGTGCATTTGCTGTCAGCAGTGGGTGTGTTGGCCCTGGTCGGCCTGAAGCAGACCCCCTCGAGAAGAGGGCTGAGAATGAGCCTTGGTTGGCCCGGAAAAATACCAGGCCACCCAGATATGTAAACAACCTACACTACCCGGCCCGGGCCGACCCGGTACAGATGGGAATGGCCCAATAGATTCAGACTTTTATTGTATAAAATAATAATAATAATAAAAAAAGTGTTTTTATTTTCATTTCAATTTAACATGTCTCCCTTACTGCCTAATGTTGCAGAGCGGCCCAACTTACTGAATAATAAAAATATACTTGATATCATTATGTCAAAGCTGGGAGTGCTGCTGAGGACTCCTCTTCAGGTTCTGATTTACAAAACAGAGATTCTGAAGCGTGGGTCGTGATCATAAAATAAATCCTTCAAGGACAAAAACACTGCAGCACTGTTACGTCAGATTCTGCATTTGTTTCCAACAGGATTCGTGTTTCTGTACAAAATGTAATGTGATGATTCAGGTAAAACCCCTACAAACGAAGCAAATGGTGATATTTGTGATTGCACTTCACAGCTGTGTCATGTCTGCAGGGAGATGAGCTGTTTTCTCTCTATCCATTAGTCCATCCATTCAGAATGAGGCAGGAAACGCCCGCACGTTAAAAATGGATCATTGTCTGTAATTACAGGCTGGGACAGAGCAGGGTGCCTTTTATTTATGCAGGTTAAATCCGTTTGTATTAGACTAGTCTGGGATCTGTTGTTTTCCATAAGGAGACTCGTATGGTTCTATAAAAGGCAAAATTTCAGAGTGACACTGATGACGCAGACGCAGTGCCCGCAGTGGTATAAATGAGAGAGCTCTGCTCTCTTCCAGAGGACATGGGGGGCAGCTGAGAGCTGATCAGATCCTGAACGGCTCTCGGTGACTGGAAACGCCTCACAGAGCTGAGGGATGAACACAGCAGTGACGGTGCACTTTCCCGTTGATGGCATCCTCGAAGTGTTCAGCTCTTTCACCGAGCATCAGCAGTCAGCTCTCCATAGCGCAGCGCTATTTCCGCATCAAAAACTCTCAGATATCTCCAAAACGGGCATGGGCGTCATCAAAACTGTTAAAGAGTGCTGGAGACGGCAGGAGATGAAAGTGGTGACGCGTAGGTCCTCAAGTTCTGGAAACCAACAGGCATATCGACCTCCCCCAGAGCCCCGGATTCTGGAGTCAGGGGTGACCAAGCCCAGGAACCGGCACAGAATAGTTGTGCTCGGGGCGCACAAAGTTGGTAAAACCAACCTCATCAGGCGGTTCTTGGGGGGAGAATATGAGGAGCAATATGAAACAACTATCGAGGACTTCTATAGAAAACTGTTCTACATAGAAGGAGAGGCGTACCAGATTGATCTTCTGGATGCAGCAAGGGAAAGAGACTTCCCTGCAAAGAGGAGATTGTCCATACTGACAGGTAGGAGAGATGCTAACAGGAAATTGTAAATGTAGAGATTTTTAAACTAAACAATATGTTTACAGGTAGATGCTTTTCTAAATATGCCCTCTCCTTTCCAGGTGACATATTCCTGCTTGTCTTCAGCTTGGATGACAAAGAATCCTTGAATGAGGTCCGTGCGCTTCTAACCGAGATCAGAGCCACCAAGGCAAAGATACAAAAGCCAACCCAGCCTCTGAAAGCTCCAGTCGTGGTCTGTGGTAACAAAGCGGACCTGGACGCTCAGCGGGTCGTGAGCGGGTTGGAGGCAGGAGAAGTCCTCGGTGAGGACGTCCCATTCTTCGAAACCTCCGCAAAAACCGGCACCGGACTGGAGGCTGTGTTCACTGCTCTTGCCACACTGGGCGGACTACCTGACGAGACCAGGCCGTCTCGGCACGAGATCGTCCCCATCCTGACCTACCAGTCGCTGTGCGTTGGTGAGCGTGGCAGGGGAAGGAGGAGGCACTCGCGGGGAATCGGTGCGCCTTGCGCCGCCGTGGACCCTCTTGCGCGCCGCCCGAGCTTCACCAGCGACCTGCGGATGGTGCTTGGATCAAGCCCCAAACACAAGAAACCCGAGACGTGTCAGGTTCAATGAATCATGAAACGCCTCAGCAACCAAATTGTAGTAGTATGCTACAATGCTGATTAATGTAAGGAGTTATACTCCGTAGCACCTGACCGGTGCGTTATTTCAGTTTGTATATGACTGTTTCATCCTTTAATAAAGCATAGGCTGCTTCTGAATCAGTTCATTTGTTAATCAATGAGATACGATAAAAATAGACAAAAGCAGTCGATTTTTGTTCAGTGGTCATCAGAAGAGTGGGAGGGTGCGTGACTCGAGCATCTCCTTAAACCTCTCCAAATATAATTTGCTCACGATGAAGAGGATGACATCAAACATGATGTTACAAAGTAACATCACTGTGTGTGTGGAAAAAAAACCCAAATATATATATATATATGAATATTTCTCTCTCTCTCATATATATATATTGGGCACTGTCCAAGGTGCTGATTTCATCATATATATATATATATATATATATATATATATATATATATATATATATATATATATATATATATATGTTACGTCTCCTCTGGCGTGTGGTGAAGGGAGAACAGAGTAAAATAAAATGTCAAATAAAAAGGAATGGACAATGATGGATGGTGTCTGTTTGTGATGGGAAAATAAGTGAATGGAAGGAGTTTAACGAAATGGTTGTTTTTCAAAAGGTTTATTTACAAAAGTGGGGTAAGAGGTATTTCATAAATAAACGAAATAAACTCCCTCTGCGTAAAACAGGGAGCAGCAAACCAACAACTTAAAGCGCTCTGTTAACAAGCTGGTGAGAGGAGTCCAAGAAGGGAAAACACGCCTATTTTAAACCAAACCGACCACTAAAGAAACAAAAAGAATAAACCTAAACCATTAACAAAACTAAAACGACCTACAAAACAAAAGCTAGAAATCTCCTTAACTAAAAATCCTCCAAAACAAAACAAAGTCAAGCTAAACTGAGAATTGGGAGATTAAACAATAACAGGAGGCAAAAAGCACAATTTATCTATATCCTTTAACTACATCAAAACTATTAACTCAGGGATACTACCAGCCAACCAATATCTACATCAAAAACTCTAGGACAGTGACAGCAAGCCAAAACCTACGAATGGAGATTGTAGTAACTAGATACAGAGTCTAGGAGAGATCACAGCTTCAACACTGAGTCTCCTCTGTAGCTGTCTCCATGAATGAGGAAGTTGGGTTCAGGAACGGCTGAAGAGTAATTGGATGCAATCTCTGGTGGCCTCTGGTGGTGTGCGACTGGGTTGCAGGACTATATATATATATATATATATATATATATATATATATATATATATATATATATATATATATATATATATATAATGTTAGGAATGAAATCCTTAGTATTCAGATGAAATCAGCACCTTGGACAGTGCCCACTTTAAATCCTGTGACTAATCAGTAAATTTTTATGGAGGCTGTGGCTGAAAGACAAGACTTGATTACATTTCATTGAAGTATTTTTATAACATTGTCCTGTTAGCTGAATGAACCACACTCTTAACTTCCCACAAATTTATTAAAACACATTGCAGTAAGCATGTCTTTTCAGAAATGCTAACAGCAAAACTCATACACAATGCTTGAAAATTAAATTACAGATATGTACTGCTTAGTTTTACACCAACAGAAGTGAGGTCTGAGGAAATTACAGGCTTTCAGAGCAGGCACCACCAAGAAAATCTATTAACCTGCTGGAAATCAAGTAATCACTAAAAACAGAAAGAAAGACAACTTTTATTTAGCACCTCTTAAGATAAAAATCACAAGGGGCTTCATAAGAACAAAAGAAATTTTTATTTAAAAAATTATTAAAAACAAGCTTAAAATAACAAAATATGTATTAAAAGTGTAAGAAAAGGGAGAGAGTATATGAATAAGAAAGAGGGAAATCAGTGGATCCCGGGAAAGGCGGATTAGGAGAGGGTGATGAAGATCACACCAAATCCAGCTTGAACAGGTGAGTCTTCAGCTGCTTTTTAAAGGAGACCACTGAGTCCACTGATCTCAGGCTCAGGGGAGAGAGGTCCAGAGTCTGGGGGCCACAGCAGCAAATGATCTGTCACCTTTGGTCTTTAGCCTGGTGCTGCACAACGAGCAGGTTTTGGTCACTGGACCTCAGGGACCTGCTGGGGGTGTAGGGACTGAGAAGATCAATTAATAGAGAATTTTATTTTAAATGGAAAACTTATGACTCAAACACAAGTAATTTATTTTTATCAAGCAAACATACAAAGTACCAAACTGTTCACACAACTAGAAAAAAACGTCTCGTGTCAGCTAACAGGATTCTTAATCTCTCTGCAGCTCTTTAACAAATCTGCCTTTCTAACTCCACCAGCAAAACAGGAAGTATGCTGTCCAGTACAGCCAAACCGTCCCAGGAACATCTCAGACCCCTGGAGGGAAAAAAAGGTGGTACTTGTAAATCTGTACTCAGCATCTCTTCTCAACTTAACCTACTTTCCTAAACCCATTTTGATGATAGCAGATAGTTGTAGCCATCTATAAGCAGAGCATGTCTGTTTTGGGGAGTACACAATCAAAAACAAACAATAATAAATCACCTGTCATCCATAATCAGATGTCCACTCTGCAGCAGCTCTCTGACACCAACAGACACCCCAAAGATTTCATTAAGACCTAACACAGGGCTGAACAGCTCCCAGTGCTGGAAAAGACCAGAAAATGATGACCATGAGGATTACCTTAAATTTTATTCAGTGCCAGAGACATTTATAGAAAGTGTGTGTGCCTTTCACCTTGTGATTAATGCCCTTGGTCATTCTCATTCCCATCACCAACACCTCCTCCAATCTGCCAAACAAAAACCATTCAGGAGTGAGATCTGCCTCGACAAGGACAAGTCTGATGACAGTGCTTCACAGGGACAGAATGTTCTGGTGAACGAGTACGGAGACCTCCAATACCCGTTTCTCACACTTTCTGCAGTCTGGCTCATACTCTCTGCTGCCACATTTCACATGAGAGGAGAGTTTCTGGAAACTACAGCAGTGTCCTGCTGCCATTACCAAAAATATTTATGATGAAACACTAAAGTGGGACAACTCACAGTTGGAGGTGGCTCAGTTGTATCCGCCTCCGTGTCCCATGTCCTCTCTCCTGGACTTCACGGATCCACACGTCCGGCTCCAGAGTCTGTGTCCGGGCCTCGCGAGAAACACCTCCCTCCCCCAAAGGAACGAACCGCCCATGTGCTCCTGCCCCCCCCCCCCCCCCCCCAAAAGGAAATTACTACGAGTAAAAAATACTCGTTGATTTATCAACCAAATCAATTCAATCAAATCAAAGATACTTTATTAATCCCAGAGGGAAATTAGAGTACTTACGAACAGCTCTGTGTGTATTTTGTGAGCATTATGAGGTGTTTACCAATAGGCACTTGTGCGTAGAAATGTTCCTAAATATAAGAACAGCTCTGACCGTCCACACATGTTCCTGACCCATAAAGTATTTTTACACAATAAATAATTAAGTTTTTTGCATAACTGGTGCTAAAACCAATAAAAGACACATGTGACCGACGAGAATCTGACATTATATCATGACTGTTCTGTTGGAGGACTTAGCAGTCTGGAGGGAACTCGTCCTCCGTGAGCGCACTGATCTCCCCGAAGGAGATCCTTCTGGACCTGTGATGTGATTTGTGACCCTTTGTGGAGCGACAGATAAACCGCACAAATCCGATTCCAGTTCATATTTTATTTTACAACTACGAGAACCCCCAAGAACCTCCTCTGCTCCCCGATCATACACGCCGCAATGTCAAGCTAACCAGACTGAGTGACAGCTCAGAAGAGGCTGCACTCGTCAATAAAGTTTTTGGTGTTTCTTCTGGGAAACGCCCAGGGAATTCCCTTGTGTGCTGAGGACGTAGCGTGACCAAATATGGTTACGTCAGGGCGTTTCTGAATGTAAATGACTGAGAACGGACACGAGCAGCTGGGTACGCACAGGTGGGATTTATCATCAGACGATTGCAGAGGAACATGTGCACGAGAGGCCACCGCATGTTCTATAGATCAGGATTTTGACTGTTCGTACACACACTCTAAATGTCATTGGTAGGAAGGAATATAGGACGGTTTCTACAAACGTTTGATAAATGAGGGCTCAGGACTGGATCATTTACTCTTGATGAAATCACCTGGACCAACTCCAATGTACTGTCTTCCTTTCCAGTAGCTCAAGTTGTGAAGACTCCCAGATTTCTGCACAACACAAACACACATGTTACTGTGCTACAAGTGGGCTCCTGCCTTGTTGGAATGAATAAAAATACGTAACACTGAGAGATCCCGAAGCATCCCTTTAGTTATGCTGATGAGCAGTATTGATTTGATTGATACTGTAAATTCATCAGAGAATTTCATTCAGCTAAATTGGTTTAGTTTGAATTGATTTTTAAAACATTTGTTTTGAAAATCAAAATACTTTTTGAAATCTTGGGTTTAGATCATTTTGGATCCTTATATTAAATTTGTATTTTCCTTTCCTTTAATCTTTTACAACCAGGTTTGACTCTAAGTCACTTTCCAGGGAGGACTTACGTTTCTTGCGAAGTTAGACACCTCGTACTGCTGAAAGCCGTGCTGGTGCAGAGTCTTCCTGGCATGCTGGTACATCTCTGACACCACTTCCTCATCGAGCATGGTTACATTTCCCCCCTGGACCTGTTTAAACAGCTGAGTCCCCCGCTCAAGAGTCAGCTGATACAGAGAGACGTGGTCATCACACACCTGCAGCAGCTCAGACAACTCAACTTCCCAGGATTCAAAAGTCTGACTGGGTCGTCCGAACATGACATCTACGGAAACCCGGCCAGGGCAAAGTCTCCTCGCCTCTCTGATGCATTGTAAAGCTTCCGCAGAGCTGTGGTCTCTTCCTAAACGTTTCAAGTCCTCATCCTGCAAAGACTGAAGGGTTTAACATGTGATCAACAAGAGAAAACAACACTTCATCTAAGTATCTGTGCAGGACAGAGCTAGGATTACACAAACCTGGACACCAATAGAGAAGCGGTTCACTCCAGCATGGTGGAAGTCTACTAACTTTGACCTTCCCTCTAGAGTGGGGTTGACCTCCAATGTGACCTCAGCCTGATCATGGAGGCTCGCGTGTTTGGAAATTGTCTCAAGGATAATGCTGATAGTTGAGGGGGGAGCCAGACTCGGAGTCCCACCTCCAAAAAACACGGATGTGATGCTGTAAAAATCAGAAGATAGTGATGAAGAACCTCTAAATTCAATCCCAGCACCCCTTAAATTTGAGATTTTTTTTAAATTCATTTGTTTGTGTCAAACTGGCTAACTTCACCAAACATGTAATGATCTTGTCCCAGTCTCGCCTTGTTTTCACAGCAACACTGCCTGCTCCTCATCAGCCTCATTCATCACCTGCTCCTGCCTCAAGCCTATGCCACTCACCTGCTCCTCCTGTTACTGTCTACTTCCGGCTCTTGGAGAGTACAGATGCTTTTTTCTCCTCTCCCTCCCTACTCTTCCTAAGGCTCTTTTTGTCCTGTCTGCCTGTGCATTGCGCTTCTCTACATTTCTTCTGGAAACTGGAAATTATTAAACATAGATCTGGTCAGTTGGTCTTTCAACGCGATTGACAAAATCTTGTGATCGGGAGAAGGGGCTCCCGGATGCCCCTCTGGGACAGAGCCAGCTGGGCATATCATGGACTCCTGGAAACAGTGGAACTTGATCTGCCTCTCTCAACTGTCTGTAGAGGATTCTGAAGATGTCTGGATATTCGTTGCGTTGGTGTTGGGATTTCTGCTGTTTGGCCTGAGCGGTTACCTGGCTTACCGGAAAATTAACGAGCTTTCGAGGAATACTGGCTTAATCCCGGAGATCAGGGATGGAATGTATCGTGCTGCGAACGCACAAACTCATATAATTGTCGAGATGAGTCATAAGTTTGGAACTTTGGCTGAGATTCAGGATCTGGCACAGAAGGTGGATTCCATCAAGGAGAGAGTTGACGGATCAGCACGGATTAGAATAGATGAATTACGCCATTATTGGACCTGGAGAGGTTGAAGATCGACAGAACTCTAAGGCAGAGAGGAAATTATCTCTGTCTGTACCCAAAACAATTCTTATCTGAATCTGGTGCCCTTGAAGCCTGTTAGGCTGAAGTGAAAACTCCTCCCTCAGAAGAAATGTGGAATGCTGCTGTCGCTATGGAAACTCTTTCCCTATCCCAGCTTGGACGGGACGGGACTGTGACCGGAGAAGGCCGTGGGACCGTACCTACAGAGGTGTGAAAAAACTATTTGCCCCCTTCCTGATTTCTTATTCTTTTGCATGTTTGTCACACAAAATGTTTCCAATCATCAAACACATTTAAACATTAGTCAAAGATAACACAAGTAAACACATAATGCAGTTTTGAAATGATGGTTTTTATTATTTAGGGAGAGAACAAAATCCAAACCTACATTGCCCTGTGTGAAAAAGTACTTGCCCCCTGAACCTAATAACTGGTTGGGCCTCCCATAGCAGCAATAACTGCAATCAAGCGTTTGCGATAACTTGCTACGAGTCTTTTACAGCGCTCTGGAGGAATTTTGGTCCACTCATCTTTGCAGAATTGTTGTAATTCAGCTTTATTTGAGGGTTTTCTAGCATGACCCGCCTTTTTAAGGTCATGCCATAGCATCTCAACAGGATTCAGGTCAGGACTTTGACTAAATGGTAAAATGGTAAATGGCCTGTATTTGATATAGCACCTTCTAGAGTCCTGGAACCCCCCAAGGCGCTTTACAACACAATCAGTCATTCACCCATTCACACACACATTCACACACAGGTGGGGATGAGCTACATTGTAGCCACAGCTGCCCCGGGGCGCACTGACAGAGGCTAGGCTGCCGAGCACTGGCGCCACCGGTCCCTCCGACCACCACCAGCAGGCAAAGTGGGTTAAGTGTCTTGCCCAAGGACACAACGACAGCGACAGACTGAGTGGGGCTCGAACCTGCAACCTTCCGATTACGGGGCGAGGACTTAACTCCTGTGCCATCGTCGTCCCACTAGGCCACTCCAAAGTCTTCATTTTGTTGTTCTTCAGCCACTCAGAGGTGGATTTGCTGGTGTGTTTTGGGTCATTGTCCTGCTGCAGCACCCAAGATGGCTTCAGCTTTGGTTGACGAACAGATGGCCGGACATTCTCCTTCAGGATGTTTTGGTAGACAGTAGAAATCATGGTTCCATTTATCACAGCAAGCCTTCCAGTTCTTGAAGCAGCAAACCAACCCCAGATCATCACACTACCACCACCATATTTTACTGTTGGTATGATGTTCTTTGTCTGAAATGCTGTGTTGCTTCTACGCCAGATGTAACGGGACATTTGCCTTCCAAAAAGTTCTCCTTTTGTCTCATCAGTCCACGAGGTGTTTTCCCAAAAGTCTTGGCAATCATTGAGATGTTTCTTAGCAAAATTGAGACGAGACGAGCCCTATGTTCTTTTTGCTTAACAGTGGTTTGCGTCCTGGAAATCTGCCATGCTGTCCATTTTTGCCCAGTCTCTTTCTTATGGTGGAGTCGTGAACACTGACCTTAATTGAGGCAAGTGAGGCCTGCAGTTCTTTAGAAGTTGTCCTGGGGTCTTTGGTGACCTCTCGGATGAGTTGTCTCTGCGCTCTTGGGGTAATTTTGGTCGGCCGCCCACTCCTGGGAAGGTTCACCACTGTTCCATGTTGTTGCCATTTGTGGATGATGGCTCTCACTGTGGTTCGCTGGAGTCCCAAAGCTTTAGAAATGGCTTTATAACATTTACCAGGCTGGTAGATCTCAAATACTTTTGTTCTAATTTGTTCTTGAATTTCTTTGGATCTTGGCGTGATGTCTAGCTTTTGAGGTGCTTTTGGTCCACTTCTCTGTGTCAGGCAGCTCGTATTTAAGTAATTTCTTGATTGAAACAGGTGTGGCAGTAATCAGGCTTGGAGGTGGCTACAGAAATTGAACTCAGGTGTGAAACAGCACAGTTGGGTTATTTTTTAACAAAGGGGGCAATTACCTTTTCACACAGGGCAATGTAGGTTTGGATTTTGTTCTCTCCCTAAATAATAAAAACCATCATTTCAAAACTGCATTATGTGTTTACTTGCGTTATCTTTGACTAATGGTTAAATGTGTTTGATGATCAGAAACATTTTGTGTGACAAACATGCAAAAGAATAAGAAATCAGGAAGGGGGCAAATAGTTTTTCACACCACTGTAGGAGTCAATGTGCCCTCAAACCCATTATCTCCCACCCCCGTCCAAACGGAGGTGATGAGCGCTGTTCCATGCGGCTGTGCACTCTGAAGTGAGGAGAGTCCCAGAACCCTCCATCCCCACCTAGTGGACACTTATGTTTTGTATCGTCTGAAGTCTGTGTGCATATCTGTCTGAGGTGTTTTGTTGCATAGCAAAGCTATCCTCTCTGTCGGGGGTAACTCTGAAGTGCCTTTTTTCCCTCCCCCTGACTCTATCCTCATATAAACCCTCGTTGATCTATAACGGTAGTGCGACTCGTGTTGCGAATGACCACAGTTACAATTCTTGACATGTGTCTATGTATGTATGTCTGATCTTGGAATTGTTTGTACTGAAACAATTGCCCCTCGGGGACTCTCTGCCCTCTGGGGTGAGTGCTGGGGGGAGGGGTCTTGGTCCACCAGAATGTTGCTTGGCGATTGGACAGGCGGCTAGTGAGTTGCGGTGGGCCTATTGGGAGGTCGGTGGTGCTGGGAGGGCAGCAGTAGCTCAACAGGTTGAGCTGGTTGTCCAGTAACCGGAAGGTTGCAGGTTTGATCCCTGCTCTGGACAGAGAATTCTGCTGTTGTGTCCTTGGGCAAGACACTTAACCCACCTTGCCTGCTGGTAGTGGTCAGAGGGACCGGTGGTGCCTGTGCTCGGCCGCCCCAGCGCGTCAGTGCGCCCCAGGGCAGCTGTAGCTATACTGTAGCTCATCACCACCAGTGTGTGAATGTGTGTATGAATGGATGAATGATACACTGTAGTGTAAAGCACTTTGGAGTCCTCTGACTCTGAAAGGCGCTATACAAGTGCGGGTCATTTATCATTTATGAGCTGCAGGGCCGAGTGGGAGTTTGTGGGTCTGCTCTTCTCTGCAGGAGGAGGGACTCTGTGATTCTGATGAAACTAATTTGGGAGGATGGGGCTGTTGTTAGTGGGGAAGCACACGGATGGTTCATGTAGCTGTGGAGAGCTGGAGATGGTGGGGCACGTCCTCCTGCGTTGTCCCATTTGCTCAGTCGAACTGAAGGTCCTGTTCAGTTTATTGGGTTCTGCTGGTGTTACGGAGTTTAGCCTGTGGGCCTTGTTGGGGGAGAGTGGGAGCGCTGCTGGCTTTTCTGTGGAAAATCGGTGTTTATGAGAGGGTGTGTTCTCACTTGGGTGTAGTTTTGAGGATTCTGTGGCAACAATATGCAAATAGGCGTCTAGCCTGCCTTTTTCATTGAAGAAGACTCTTCCAGATTATTGAAAGCTCTCTGCTACTAAATTCTCCAGCCTTCTCACGCACTTGTTCCACGGATCTTGACCCGCTTTTGCCCTTCTGAATTTCTCCTCCTCACCTGGCCCTTGTTGGATTTTTCCTTTTGCCTCTGGCTCCTGGATCCCGACCTTGGACGGCTCCCTGACTCCTGCTATTGGCCTCTCCCTTGCTGGTTATCTCCTGTTCTCTGCTCCACTGGACTATCAGTTATTGCCTATGCCCTGTCTCCTTCCCATCGTCTCTCGGACCTTTTCCCTTTTTTTACTCCTTAATAAAACTCTTAAGGTGTTTCTGTTTGTTGGTGTGTTTACGGGTCCGCCAGTCATAACAAAACTAGTCAAATATAAAGACATACGGTAGGTTTAAATGTTATATTTTAACAACAAAAATACAGCTAACCCTTCCTGCCTCAAAGTTCATTTGATCCTGCTCAGCTTTTCCGGAGCGCTGCCTTCCTGAGGGCTGATATGTTTATGGGGTCTTTGTGTGGGGCAGTCCTGCATTTCCAGTACTTATCACAGATCCTGCAACTTGAGACACTGTTCCGCATTATTGACGGTCTCCTGTTTCACATTATTATGTGGAGAGATGGTGAATGTGAATAGGAGGCGCAGTTGAGAAGACTGAAGACATTGTAAAGCTGTTCGGGGCGACTCTGACAGTCTTTGTGATGTTCCTCAGTCATTTCTCTGTGTCACAATGCAGGTTAGTGCTAAAGAAGCCCAAAGAACCTTCTATCACAGGTGTTGGGATGAGGCCAAACCCTTTAACCCTCCCACTGTCCTAATGGGTCCATGTGGCAGGGGTGAGGAGTGAGCACCACCTCACCCCTGCCACAAGGACCTCAAGGGATAAAGCATCAATCCTGCTCAGTGGTCAACTTTCCTCGCGGGGTCACCTATAAAGACAGTGGGAGGGTTAAAGCACAGTTGAAAGAACTGATGTGAAGCCTTGATGATTTATTCTGAGAAAACTGATTTTTAAGATTAGATCTGACATTCACTTTTCGGTGACCTTTTTTCCTTCCCAAAATATGTCCTACCAAAGACTTGTTTGAAAAACCATCATTTTATCTCTGTTTTGAAATTAAGAAGGAAAAAAATAAAACTTTTATTAAGAGAGTATGGATACTTTTAAATTGGAAGTAGATATTAGTGGAAATAAGGTAAAAACAAGATAAATCTAAAAATATGGTATTTTAGTGTCATTTTGTTGTTGAAATTCAGATGAAGCTGAAGTTGGTTCCCATCTGATTTCTGATTAGGAAAGGACAATTCTGAATTTTTTTCCACTCATGAGCACTTTTAATCTGCTATTATAAAACGACAGCGCCCGGGCCAGTGTGGGGTCTGTGCTGAAGTTGTGAGGTTACCAAGACTATATTTGTAAAATCTAAAATCCCAATAACACCCAACAGCATCAGACACGAAAAGGGGTCAAAGGTGAAATAGGTGAAAATTTTAGTTAGCAGATGTAATTTCCCACATTCTAGTGCTTTTAACAGGTTAATTATATGTAAATGATTGGTTTTTAAATTAACAACTTAAAAATTAGCTTTAAAAACTAAATAAATTATCAATGAAATAAGATAAATAAATAACATGACATGTCAGACCTGGTTTGTTAATTTGTTTGAACCCAGTGTTTCATTTGAAATGTGACCAAGTACGTTTCTTTACCACCATGGATGGATAATGCTTCGGTGGTTTAAGGTGCGTCCTCATCTCCTCATATTGTGCGGCCAGTCTCTCTCTCTGTCTCTGCTGTCCGAGCGCAACTCATCACCCTCAAATTAAATATCGACCCAAATCTGACCCGACCCGATGGGCTCGCTCTGTTCAAATCGTACGAGCGGAGTTGGAGCTGTCTGGAGATGTATCTAGGAGACCTCTAGACAAGACGCGTTGGTGATTCACCGGTTCCCACGGATTTATTTACCGGTATTTATTTATTGTACTGACAGTGTTGGACACATCCTAAAAATCCTCTTGAATAATTCCCCTTGTGGGTAATATTAAAGGGACTTTACGGAGTTTTGAAATTTTATGCTCGCGATTGCCCCCTCAGGCCAAAAGCGTAACGGCAGCGTCAATAGTAGGCTCGTGCACGAGGCGCGCATGCTGTACGTGCACACTCCATAACGAAAATAACAGCTGAGACAGTCAGCTCCGTGTGTGTGTGTGTGTGTGTGTGTGTGTGTGTGGCCCGGAGGACAGAGGACAGGAGAACGCGCAGCTAATTAATTAAATAATTTGGTTCTGTACCGTTCTCTTCAGCACAGACAAAGGTTTAAGATGGGTCAGTCCTCCTGCATGCTCAGATCATTCCCTTCCCTTGCTTGAAAAATTGTTCCAAAATGAAAGTTGAACCCACATCTTTTTTATCTGTGAAGTTGGCACTGCCTCACTCTCTGCTGCTAAAGCTACTGATAGCAAACGCTACGGGCTATGCCTGAGCATGGACGTGCATGAAGCAGCCTGCTCGACCCGAGCAGCTCTCTTTTTCTGTGATTTTACAGAAAAACAGGCAATCACAGTAAAAATGCCAGGGCTCATTCTACAGGACCAGGGCATTGCAGGAGAACGTATGAAGAAGAAATGTATTATTTCTATACATGTTTTGGCTGTCAGACTTCCATAATGCCCCCTTAAAACTGGTTAAACTGTAAAAACCGGCCTCGCTGTATACCTCCCCCCCCCTCCCCCCCCTATGTTCTCATCGGATCTGTACGAATCACGTAGGTGACCCATTTTGCACTCAAAACAGCTCAATTACTAAAAGGTGAGGGATTTTCATGTCGGCAGTATAAGCAAAACTCTAGGAGTTATAACTATATGTCTGTAAAGGGGGCTGGGGGCTCAAACCTGGACCAGATTATTTATACTGATAGTAGAATCTGTTAAACATAGTTTGTGATTTGTGAAACTTTTGTGATCTGTGAAAATGTGTTTTTCTTTTGTTTCACAAATGTGGGAATATATATTTGTTAAAAGGTACAAAAGAGCTAAATTTATCTTGCCTGGCCGCTGGTGCTTAGCCCCCCTAAACCTTTGATGCTAGGATCGCCCCTGTTACCAGTAATCATGCAGAACCAAAAGCTGGTGATGAGGTAAATCTCCTTACCAGGATACCTGACTGAGCTGCAGCAAAGTCTCTGTTTCCCTCTGAAGACACTCCGCCATGACGTGGCCATTGTTGTCTTTGGGTACGTACTTGTTGAAGTTGCAGTAGGTGCATCTTCTGAGGCAGTAAGGCCACTGAAACGAGGAGGAGATTTAAACAGGTGTCGGTCTGCACTCGAAGTGCTCATCGGGAAAATTGAGCTCACGTGCACGTAAAGAGACGCCTCTTTGGTGAGGTTGTTTGAAGCAGACACATCTTCAGTCACGATGTCTGTGGAGAAGCGGCGCAGCCTGCAGGAGAGGACGCGGCTGGCCGCAGGAAGCGCGCGTCTCATGCTGCTGCTGCCCGATCACCGGGGCGTTCCTCCCTCGGCGCGATCAAACAAGAGCGCCGTGGAGTCCGTCTCCATAGCAACACACACGCTGAACACGTTTCTATGGCAACCAACTACGACATAACAGAACTTCAGCACATTCAGTATCCATTCAATATGACATACAACTAAACCGGATGTACGTCATCAGCTTATTTCCTTCCTTTTTGTTCAATTGTTTGTCCACACGGGGGCGCTGTAGTTCAGACCTGATCAGTACTCGCACTAAAGAGCTGTTTTAGAAGGTATTAATGATGTGCATCGTTGGTATGCAGCAGTTTTTAATGTGTGAGGAAATAACTTCATTTAATATGTTCAACCAGTGAAGTTGTCCTAAACTGTGGATGATGTGAGAGGATTTTATGACCCAACCTCTGCATGATTGTCTGTAAAGCTGCAAACATGATTAACACAGGTCCTACAGCACTGTGCAAAAGATTTAGCAGGTGTGGAAAGGCTGTAAACAAAAAATGATTTCTAAAACATGGGTTTTAATCATTCATACATCAATAAAAAGCAGTAAATGAAAAAAGGACTCTGAATCAAAACAATATTTGGTGTGACCATTCTTTGCCTTAAAAGCAGCATCAGTTCTTCTAGCAACAAACTTCTAGATGAAGGAACTGGGCTGGAGTTGCAGATGTGCCAAAAAGCGACTGGCTGCCAAAAAATGATTAGCCACCGCGGGATCTCGTACGGTTAGGGTAATTGCATTTCTAGACGAAATTCCCCAGGATTTTGCCTTAAAACTCGGCATATCTAGCAATATGGACATTGAGAAAGCAGAGATAACCTCATCTGGTACTTAAACAGATGTTTATCGCGGATATTAGTTTTTTCCAGTTCGGAAGTTGTTTTAAGTGTTGCGATTTGTCTTAAACATTCACAATGAGGATATATTAATCCTTTTTGCAATATTTGCGATTGAATGATGGTTTGTGGTAAGAACCGGTTTTAGCAGTCTTCAAGGACCCGGTGTCGGTACAAGATCTGCTCAGGTGCAAGATCGGCTCGGGGTCCGTCGACTGCCGATGACGTCAAAGTAGTTGATTGGCTGAACATGAACCTTACGGAATTACGTAATCATGTTACGTTGTTATCACGTTACGTTGGTCCAGGCATATCTTTCGGTTGGAAAGATGGACAACTTTTACAAAGAAATCCATCATTACCTCTTTGAAAATACACTTTTAGCATAGAGCTGCAAGTATATTAGGGCTGAAAGATTAACTGCATGTGCAATTAAATTGCGATGTGACAAAAGGAGATTTTCTAATCACAAAGGCTGCAATTTGGCAGCGAGTGGTTAGCACAATGCTAATATACGTGGAAAAACCCATAGGAATGCTAATGCTAATATCACCGATTACATTATTACAAATTATGAATTAGAAACTTGCCAAATGATTACATTTGGAGTCTAATAGAAAGTAAAACTACCATCAATCAAATAAGTACAGACAGGTATTTTAGTAAAGCCAGAAGAGTTTTGGCTAGCAGCTATGAGCGTAACTGAACTACGCATGGACAAGACGTCAAAAAAACACAAAATACTTCAATGAACGGGACACACTTCTTTCCTGCAAATACAATTTCACAGGTGTTGCTAATACCAATGATCCTCCAAGGGATGTGCTCAAAGAGGAGTTCAACATTATGAATACAATATAGTGTTTTATTTACAAATACCATTATAAATACAAACTTACATCTTCAGAAACATTATTTTAATAACGAAACTGCTAAATTCTTTCCAACAGTATAGATGTGTAGTGTATTTTGTCCGAGTGGGTTTGCCGTACTTTGACGTCATCGGCAGTCGAAGGACCCCGAGCCGATCTTGCACCCGAGCAGATCTTGTACCGACACCGGCCTTGCTAGACCGGCGAGGACCTGTACTCATAAGCATCCTTCCTGTGGATTCGGACACACCCTAAGTGTTGACTGGTAGCAATGTTTCGCATTGAATGTGATTTATAATTGGTGGTCTTGATTTGATTTGCTGTTTTTCATAAGATAATATGAAATTATTTTTGTGTGTTATGATTTTGATGGACTTCTTATTTTAGGGGGAAGAAGATGTGAGGTCTTTGCCCTTCGGGCCACCGTAGTTATGTATGACATGGGTACGTCGTTGTTGGTTGCTGAGAAGCTAAGCTATGTAATGTGCCGCTGCTACCAGAATGGATTAAAAGAAGTTCCTAACTCCTATAACCGCCTCATCATTATACTTACCTGAGATAACGGTGCGGAACATAACAAGGACCATCACTTCTGGGACTTCTTGTTGTTCTTTGTGCTGAGGGTAATTCTAAATGAACTTAGCTGTTGGGGTTACCCACTTTAAATTTTGTAAATTGATAAAAAAAAACAATCACTATTTATGTCTGAAAGCAATCTGTCTTTATAGCAGTTTTCCAAACTTGTCTACGCATGGTACTTTAAGTACTTTTGTTTACATTCAAATGAAGCTAGCTTGTACCAGGCTCCTAATAATACCTTCATTTCTTCTTCTAAACAACTATTTTTTTCATTAGGTAAAAAAACACAATGCAAGACCAAATCCCAGCGTTTTGTGTGCAGTTAGCATGTTCTTTCCATGCATGAGTAGGTTTTCTCTGTCATGGTCTGCGTCTTTCCCCATGTGTCTCCTGATGTTCTCCATCCCTCTCTAGACTCCCCTTTTGTGTCTCATAGCGCCCTCATGTGTCCTTTATCTGCATCTCATTTATGTGTCTACTGTTTGTAGCCCTTCAGGTCACCCCCAGTCCCTCCAGTTGTAGCTCCAGCCTCTTTGTCCCCAGCTCGGTGTGTGTGTGTCATTCCCCAGCTCACTGTGTGCGTGTGTTTGTGTGTGTGTGTGTGTGTGTGTGTGTGTGTGTGCGTGTGTGTGTGTGTGTGTGTGTGTGTGTGTGTGTGTGTGTGTGTGTGTGTGTGTGTGTGTGTGTGTGTGTGTGAGTCCTTTCCTCAGTCTTTAGGTTTAGTTTTGTGTTTTATATAGTTTTAGGTTTATCTGCCCTCCTCTGGTTCTGTTTCCCCATTCAGATAATTGTTCTCACCTGCCTTCCCTTCAGCCTCACTCCACACACCTGCTTCCTGTTTCCCTAATTGCTCCTCCCAGTCTATATAAGCCCTATCTTGTCTCTGTGTTGTGTTGGTCCATTTTTGTTTGTCAGCGTTGTTTTTGGTGCTCAGTGTGAGCTTCCTGCCCCGTCCCCAGTTTGTGCTCTAAGTAAGCTTTCTTCTCATGTTTCTGGATTTTTGGATTTTGGCTTCCTGCCTTTTGGATTTATTTTTGTTCTTACAATAAAAGGATTTTTACTTTATATCAACTCCTGCCTCGTGTCGTCTGGGTAATCTGCATATTGGGTCCTAACCATCCTCTCAACGCGACATCCTCTGGGAGGTCCGGTTTCCTCCCACAGACAAAAATATGCATGTCTGGTTAATGGGATCCTCTATTGAACCTGTGTGAGTGTGTGAATGGTTATGTGTCCATTGAGCCCTCTGTCTCTTACCTGATGTTAGAAACCAGCTCCTTGTGACCTTAGTGAGGGAAAGTGGTTCAGAAAATGATTTATAATAATAATAATCAATATACATTTTTATAAATGGGTTCATTTTAATTTTAAATACATTATGGAACAAAGAGGACACATGGGCAACCGAACACCAAACTCAAATCTCTTTTTGAATTAAATGACCCCAAATATCATCTTGGAGCTAGTAGATAATAACAGCATAGATCACTGGCAGCACTAGCCTTCTCTGGAAAAGAGATTTTTGCTGCTCTAATGAGACCTTGTTGGTTAAGGAAAAATCAGAACTGAGGAGCGTTCTCAGTCTATATTTAACAGTGTGGAGTCCCTGTATCCTTTAGTGTACGGATGCTTTGTTAAAGCCCACTAGCTTGCATCTGTCCCCATCCTTTAATGAGTTATTGATGATACAATGACATATCCTCACAGGATAAAGTCAAAACCAGAGCAAACAAATGTACACAATCAAATAAACTGCTCATCTCAGATTTATTTCTGTTAAATAAAAAATAAACTTCCACAACATTCATCTATCAAGCAAAATGGAGCAGAGAAATCTATCCACTAATTAAATAACAGCGTTTGTTCAAAACGGATGTGCTCACTGCTGTTTTCTGACCCAGAGGCCTTTTTCCAATTGATATCAAATCTGATACCCAGTTACCGTGCCAACAGAGGGACAGAAGCAGAGGGGGGAAAGGAAAAACAGAGGGTCTGTGCCTATGAGATGAACCAGTCCAGTTAATCCACATAAAGGAACACATCTGGGTCAGATGGATAAAAAGAAGAAAGGTAAGCTCTCTGATTTAATACTGAAGGAATGCAGCTGATGGAGATGGCATTTCTACCATACCTTAATGTCGAGTTTCTGCAAAAGTAATAATGTGCTAAATGTTGTACCAAGAGAAGCTAATTTTCATTAAAAACTCAGATCCAAGCGTGATGCACATTAATAACAAGCCTAAGATAAAGCAACCATTGCATAAACGATCCAATTGTTCTGACAGGATCTGCTAAGGAGCTCCGACTCATGGTGGTCGGCAGCAGCGGGCCTTCCCAGTTCCAACTGACCAATGCTATACTGGGAAAGGAGGCATTTTCCAAGGATGTCACCAGCATTTCTGCCAGCATGAAGAATAAGGGACAGCTGGGTGGTAGACCAGTGGCTGTAGTTAACGGACCAAATATTTATGATAAAGACATATCTCATCCAAAGAGGGAGATGGAGCTGAGAAGGTCAAAGTGCTTGTGCATACCTGGTCCTCACGCCTTCCTAATTGCTTTTGACCTGGAAAACATCTCCCTCAATGACATGAAAACTCCCAAACTGCTCAAAAAACGCTTCGGTGCCAACTGTCTAAAACACTGCATGGTGCTGTTTGCCTACGAGGGAGATCTGGATGGCGCTGCATTGGAAAACAGGGTGAAGAAGACTGACTGGTACCTGAGAGAACTGATTGAAAAGTATGGTGGTCGTTTTCATGTTTTTAAGAAGAACTGGAGAGGTCGCTGCCAGGAGAAGGAGCTGCTGAGGAAGATCGAAGTGATGGTGGCTTCGCTGGGAGGCGGACACTTCTCTAGCAGGACTTTCCAAAAGGCAGAGGACAGTGTGAGGAAGGAGGAGAGGCGGCTGAGGAAAAAAAGGTCAGAGGAGATAGAGCGGACGTGGAATGAAATGGAGCAGCAGTACATAGCGAAGGATCTGCGCTTGCAGAAGGATGCCTACAATGCCTGCATTGGAGCAGAGATCCAAGCTAAAGCTGAGCTGGACAACGGGTGGCTCAGGACGTCGCTGGTAAGAGGCCTGGGGACAGGCCTGGTGGTTGGAGCTGTGATGGGTGCTCTGTTTGGTGCTATTGAGGGACCAGGAGGGATGGTGCTTTATGGTTTTATAGGGGGGGCAGTTGGTGCGTCTGCAGGAGGAACTGCTCAGGTAGCGATCAAGCATATGGAGAATAGAGTGTACCCACCTGTCAGACTCAACTTCAACTCAATCTTCATCAACCGCTTCTTTGCAGCTTCTCGTAGCTGCTAGATAAACAGTCCAGGCTCACCTGGTCCGTCCCTGAAGGTAAAGTGTAAAAGACCCTTCATCTGGTATGTAACTGACTGTGGAAGCCAGCGGTCTAGTGGAAAAACAAACGCTAATCAGTAAAAATAAAAGATTGCATTTTAAAAAATGTGTGATTGCAGTTTTTTGTTTGTACGTTGGGCCTGTCGTGAGCATGGGCGGCTCCAGTAAATTTTACCAGCAGTTGCTGTTGCTGGGGGGGGGGGGGTCAAACTTCCTGAATATGGCACAACATGAAATTCCAGTGCAACAAAATGAAGCACTGAAAAAGGTGAACATTTTTATCCTGCCTTTCAATATCAATGTCACGTATATATGACAACGCACACACATCACGTTGGGACCCATTTTTTGTTAAAGCTAAAATTAATATCAGTTTCTGCCAACAAAACGGCTCTAAAACAATTCATATGTAAATACTCGGCATATTTATTGCAAAATCTAATTTTTCTGCTGCTTCAGTGCTGCAACAACTGCATATTCATAAGAAATGATTATACCTTGTGTTTTACTACAGCGTTGTTAAAGCTTCAGAATATTAAGAATGCTTGTTTCAGCTGTGAGATTAGTCGATGGGATCAATGAAAAAAAACGTTTGTCACGGACTCCATGGAAACTTTCAGAGAATCCACAAAAAGTGGCTTCAATCGGTTTTGTTACTGACAGATTTGTGTGAGTTTAGAAAAGAAGCAGATGAGACGGTGTGTCCGACAATTTTGTTTTTCATCTGACAATATTAGTATGGGGTGGGGGGGGGGGTGGGGGGGGTCTGTTTGTAGCCTGGCCTGCCAGACTCCTCCTCTGTTGGATTCTGGTAACTCACTGCTCCTGCTCCTGCCTCCCTCTGACTATGACTCTCCTCTGCCTCCTGATTAGTTTTATTGGTCTCACCTGCCCCTTGTTAACCTGCCCATGTGTTCCTGCTTTTCCCCTGGGTATGTAAACCTCCCGTCTTGTTTGTGTCAGTGTCGGGTCATTGTTGTTTGTCGTGTTGTTCTTGTTGTTTCCTGCCGTATCCTGCTATTAAATCCATTTTTATGTTATCTGTGCCTGCATTCCTGCCTCCTGGTCAGCTCCACCACACATGGTCCGCCGCCACCCACTCCACATCATGACACTCACAGGCAGAGAGGCACTTGAGAGGCGGGACTAGGCAGCTCAAAAATGACCAATCAGAAAAAAGACGGAAATCCCGACTGTACCGCAAGACTCTGTAGTTTTCTAGTTGTAGTAAAAAAAACAGCGTCTGGCAACGACTCAAACCTACTTTATTTGTTTAGAAGAAATGCTTTTAGCGCTTCTACTTGTGGTTTTAAAGACATCTGTGTCATTTAGAACAGAGGAAGGAGTCGCAGCAAACTCCGCCACTGTCTTTGTTGGTTATGAGAAACTGAGCGTCGCTGTGTGTGACGTCCGCGATGCTGTAGTTTTTTTTTTTAGCTGTAGTAAAAATGGAGTCAGACAACAGCGCAAACATCTTTGTTTAGAAACAAGGCTTTTAGCGCTTCTATTTGTTGTGGTTTTAAAGACATGTTCAAGTCCTTTAGAACAGAGGAAAGAACTCCACTTCAGTCACCATGTTTATGACAAACTCGACGTTGTGGTGTGTGACGTGTGACGTACGATACTCAGCGTTGATTGGCTTGGTTAGAATTCTCACGGGGCGGGGTTATTTGGATAGGAGAGTTCCCAGACTCTTTCTCTGTGCAGAATTAAACAGAGGAGGAGTCTGGCTGGCCAGGCTAGTCTGTTTGGCCTTGGTCCCCAAAATGCCTTGAAACGGCCCTGGGTGTGTGACTGAGTTTTGAAGGTGATCTGTATTGTATCAAAAGCATAAATATGACATGTGGATAACTTGTTTTATACAGGTAAAAACGTGTAGTGGAGATAAATCTACCTACATTTTACTTTCAAACACTTTGTTTTGTTTTCTTGTTTTTATTTAACTGTTTTCCTGTCCTGTCTGTCTCTCATCTTCCTGCATCTCCTCTAAACTCTCCAGAAAATCTGCTGCCTGGATTCTTACTTTTTCACCTCATCAGTTACTTTTGAGCAGACCAAAGATCTCCTGAGCGCAAAGCGGAGAGCGGAGTGCACTTAACCATGAGGGGTGGAGTTTCCACCGCTCTGAGCGCTGCCCTGTCTCTGATAACACACACCTGAGAACACCGGCTCTGAGCAAACAGGTGTTGGTTCCTCTCATGTCACCTGGAACTGTTCAAACAAGCATTTTTGTTCGGAAACAGCTCAGCTAGTAAAGGTAAGACCACCTTTCCTGCCCTTCTTAGCATTTTTTAGCTGTTCCATTAAATCCGACCAGCGTGATGTCATTTCTCTGAGTTATTTCGTGAGACTGCTGCGTAACTACAGCTTTACATGTTCAAGCACGATGGCGTTTAAACGTTTAAAACGCGGGTTTTAGGATTGAAGTTAGATTCTGGAAGGTTTGCGTGTGTGTGTGTGTGTGTGTGTGTGTGTGAACATCTCAGATCGGCCAACCTGCTCGACCACATATTTACCTGCTTCCGTTTATCGGCTTTGATCACAAAGAGCTCAAACACCCAGAACGCGCGGAGCTCTTCGGCACACAGGACCATGATCTGAACACCATGTTCTGATCACCATTCTGCTGAAGTTCACACAGACTCCCTGCGTCATTTACTGACACACACGTCCACGTTTCTGACTAAATATTCCTGACAAGTGCATTTCTCATGTACCATGTTCAGCGCCTTGGGCAGGGTCGCTCCGTCTGAACAGTAAAAGCAGTTTCAGAGCGTGAAGTTAAAAGTCAGGTCACATAAAACAGACAGCTGTGAAAAACACTTTGGGCATTTTGTTCATTCAGGTTTAAATTTGAACTGGAAAATTAACAAAATGTATATGTAATAAAACTTTATTATGATTTAATGGGAAAAATAAACACAGTAAAACTTAGGGTGACCAAATCCCAACGTGCTTAATGTCAGACAGAGACTATATGGGACAACGTGAAGTTCCAATGTAATGAGGAAAAACAAACAAACAAAATGTACTGCATTCCCGGCAGGTGTTAAAATGTGAAGGATGGGGGTAACATAAGAACAGTGGATATTAAAAGGGTTTTATTGTAACAAAAAGGTTCTAAAAACGTGCTAACAGATGATGACGGGCATTATAAAGATAATGCAAAACACAAACTGAACTCTCTAAAAGGTTAACATCACAACAACACCTGGTTAAAACTTTATTAAAAGCTTAACGAACAGAAGGCGTTTTACAGTAAAATCCCGAAGTTGATAAAAGTTGCAAAACAATATTGACCTAAAACACCTGGTAAAACATATTTTAAAAGCTTAACCGAACTGAAGGTGTTTAAAACTGAAGTCAATAAAATTGCACCAAACCAAGTTAACCTTAAAATCAAACTGCAAAAAGATCCCACTGGATCATCCAAAAAACTTATCACGAAGAGTTTAAAACTACCAAAGTTTAAAACTCATCCAAACAGATCCAAACGAAAGGGGTTGAAACCAAAACCGGGAGGACAGCAGAACCCCTGCACTGCTGAAGGCACAGCCTTTTTATGCAGGTGTGATCAGGGAGATTCAGCTCAGCTGTGCTCCTCAGCAGCCTGGGAGAGAGGAGAATGAGGGGCGGTGTCAGGCTGATCACTAGGGCAGGGTGATCCTGGCTCCTGCTCATCACTCAAGGCTGGCGGCCGTGACATGTACATTCTGCCTTTTAGCCCTAACATCACTGTCACATATACATAAAATGATTATTCTTATTATCCTCATATATTTCTTGTATATATTTTATTTGAATTCAACATGAACAAGCCTACAGCAAAAGCTTTACTATGTCACAGTTCCTCTCACGTTACCACAACACAACTCTGTAGTGGCTCTGATCATTTTAATAATATAGATAGGCCCACAATAATAAAAACATGCAGGTTTAAGCTGCTTTTCAGAGTTTTCATTGAATGTTTTCCACAACCAAATGACAGTATAATTACCAGTAATAATTTTAGATCTGTTTATGTTTGTTTTTTATTAATTTTCCATTAAAATCAGCATCGCACAGAAAAAATATCCATACTTTTTGCTATTTTTTTCTTAATTCAGAAACAAAACATTTTTTTAACATGACAACAAATCTCTTCTAGGTTTTAGGCGAGAGAATAAACATCAGCTTCTGATCTCTAAAAAAATCAGATCTAATCTAATAAAAGTTTCTTAGAGTTACTTTTTGCCTCAAATGTCTGAGAATAAGTGGTGAAAGCTTCCATTTATTCTCATTATTTCTTCACTGTGCTTTAAGGGGCTCAGCGTGTACGCAGGTATCTGAAACCGCAGCACCTTGTCTGTGTTTACCATGGACCTGTCTAATTACTGGAAAACCTGCTTTTGACCTCTTCACCTCAGACTCCTCGTCGAGACATGAGAAATGACTCAGAAACAACAAAGACTGTCGACTATCTCTGAACACGTTTCATTCATGAATTTACAGCATTTTCTCCTACGTGCTCGCTCACGCTTGTTTTGATGGTTCGAGCGCGTGCACGCTCCACACACGCTCCTGACCTGCGTTAAAGTCCCGCTCAGTTTGATTGACAGCAGCAGGCAGATTTTTCCAGCTTTTTTCTATAAGACTGAAACTCGACACGGGAAACTGCCAATAATGCGGGTCTTTGCGGGACATGAGTCTCAATTTGCGGGACACGTGAAAAGTAATGAAAATGCAGGACTGTCCCACACAAAGTGGGACATCTGGTCACCCTAAATTAGATCTGACCCCATCAAAGAAAAAAAGTAAGAATGCTTTCATCAGTTAGGCATTAATCTGAAATTATTGTTTGTTAAATATCATTTTATGTAATTTAATTTAAAATTTAATGTACATTATTACAAGTAGCACAGCGTTTATAGGAAAATCATTTATTATTTTGGCAGAAAAGCTTGTAGAAAAGCATCAAGATGACAAAATCAAACTGTTGAGTTTTTCTGTTGTCCTGGTCAGAACATGTCCTCCTCCTCCATCTGCCTCCTCCAAGAGAGACACTTCTTATGCTTGCTGTGCAGAGACGTCTTCACCAGCCCCGTGACAATCCCATGTGGACACAGCTTCTGCTCCTCCTGTCTTGGACAATACTGGACTCAGCGCCCGGTAAAGTACTGTCCCGACTGTAGGAGAGTGTTTCCCAACAGGCCTGACCTCTGTGTCAACCATATTTTGGCCGACATTTCTGAGAAGTACAGGAACACTCGACCTCAGAAGCAACCGGAGGAAGAAGTGGTAAGGTTTCCTTTATCAAACCTTAAATCACAGAAAACCACGATGCTGAAGTCAGTTTTATGTGTTTGCAGGTTTTAGATGTTGAGCAAATGATTCAGGATAGGCAGGACAAGATAGAGAAATTAAAAAACTCCCTGGAGCTTCAAAAGGTGAGTTGACATGTCTTTCAAATAACTTTTCAACATTCTGTTTGACTCATGATCATTTCCAATCAGAGCTCCTACCTCCGCGAGGTGCGGGAGAGTCAAAAGGTTTTCTCTGCCCTCGTGAGCACCATGGAGAAGACTCACAAGGCTGTTGTGTGTGCAATTGACGAGAAACAGAGGGAGGAGGAGAAGAGAGTGGAAACGTTGGTGAAAGAGCTCAAGCTGGAGATCAAGCAGCTGAAGATGCAGTCCAGCGAACCCGAGCTTCAGCCTTCTGATCAAAGTGAAGACATGAGGGATGTTTTATCCGTAAGTGGCCTCATCTACTTCAGACAACATCAGGACCCTGATAATGTCACGCTGAAGAGGTTTTCTATCTTGTAGCTCCCTGAGATGAAAGACTTGTCCAAGGTTTCCATAGAAACGGACCCTTGTGTTGGCGTTACCAGAAGAGCGTTGTCAGACATCCTGGAGAAAATTAAGATGGAAGTGAATAGACTCTCCAAAGCTGGTAATGCAGGGTCCTCTCTCTCATAATGTTGCTTTATAGATTGACAGATAACCTTATCTTCTGTGTTTGTGTCTCAGAACTCAAGAGAATAGAGAAATATACAGGTAAAGCCTAACGGAAAAGGAATGTTTTATGCTGCAGTCCCACAGAAACAGCTTACGTTTTCTTCTTGTTTCCCCCTAGCGGACATCAACCTGAGTGCAAAGACAGCCCACCCCTTCCTGTTTGTCTCAGATGACAGAAAACAGGTTCGGCACACTGGCAAGCTCCAGGAAGTTCCTGATAATCCCAGACGCTTCGACCGTGTGGCCAACGTGCTGGCCAAGGAAAGCTTCAGCAGTGGGAGATGCTACTGGGAGGTGGAAGTCGGGGAAAAGGTGGAATGGACCCTGGGTGTTGCCAGACAGTCCATAAACCGAAAGGGCAAGTTCACTGTCTGCCCTGCTAACGGTTTCTGGACGTTGAGCCTGAAGGCCGGGGGCCAGTACGTTACCAACACCTCTCCGGTCTCCTTTGTGGCTCTGGAGCACCGGCCCAGAAAGGTGGGGGTGTTTGTTGATTACCCTGAAGGACGCGTGTCCTTCTACTGCACAGAATCTGGAGCCCACATTCACACTTTCACAGATAAATTCAACGACAGGATCCATCCTTTCTTCAGTCCCGGCCGGCTGCACGGTGGCAGGAACGCCGCTCCACTAATGATATCATCCAGCTTTTGTAGCATCTGACCTTGTGTGTTTTGTATGTTTTTTCTTTGTATTTATCTTTTTAGAATAATTTATTTACCAAATAAAATGTGTTAGCCCATCTTTAATGAGCTGCATATTTCTTGGCTGAAACTTGAGACAGGTTAGGAGAGGAACAAGGGAGTGAAAGTGGCCCAAGAGGAGATAAAGGGATTGCTGAGGTGGACGGGGCTGCAGAGTTGGGACAGGGGTTGATGTGGAGCTGGGCGGGAGGGCACCAGGAAACAGCGGGGCATTGTGTTTATACACCAGGCACTGGGAGACACACTCAAACACATTCACACACTGACACACACAAGCGCATGCTTCTGCCCACCAGCGCACAGACTCGAGCTGGCATCTCGGAGGGCAGCCTCGTCTCCAGTCCAGGGTGTCGGAGCTGGTTGAGCCTCTCTGCTGCTCGGACACAGGGCCGTCCAACTCTGCCACCTTCCTGCTAACTGCGCTGGATCCTCAGGGCGTTCCCAATTCTAGGACTCTACTGCTGGGAATAAACAAGCAACAAGTGGAACATCTGAAAAGGGAACAGAGAAGCTCCAACAAGCTTCTTTGGAGGTAAATACTAAAAACCTCAAACGAATCTGTCCTCATTGGATTCACTTTGTTATTAAGCTACCCAAATAAAGAAGCTGTGGGTGAGTGTGGGTGGTGTTACTTCATGTAAACTATAATAATATGTACGACGGAGTGAAAATCCAGGGATCCACTGGAAATATTCAGTTAGACTTTTGTTGCATCTGAAATAGTCTGTTCCGCCTCTCTGTGATTATTTATTTGTATGAAATTCTGAAACAATTTTACAGATCATTTGTCAACATGAGACCACAATTAACCAGTATTTTGGTGGAACACATCCTAAACATCTGGACTGATCTTGAGTCCCATACTCAACAGATGCTACAGGTCCTGCTGGCCCACTCCACAGGCTTTCATGAAAGCTGCTTGTGTTCAGAGCTCCTTCATGTTTTTCTGAGATAATCCACTCACCCTGCAGGGCGTAGCTTTACACCCACTGCTGGGTCAAAGAAGGCCATTATCTGCAGCGCTCACTGGAGTCCACCCAACATGGGCCTTTCAGTTTCCAAATATTTCTGTTGCTCAATTAGTCCCTAATGCCATAACTAAGATTCGATGCATTTGTATGAAATCTGGCAACTGATGCAGCTTTGTTTTCTGAATTTCAGCATCCCCTTTCTTGTGAGCTCTCATTAACATCAGCACCACAGACAAAGGACCCAGAAGTGGACTTCAGTGTTTCTTTGTGGGACTGACCTCCTGCAGCAAAGACTGACATCAGCTCAAGACTTCTCCATCGGATTCAAGTTGCATCCTCCTCTCGTCATGGCAACCACAGGCATGCAGCTGCTGGGCCTGATCCTGTCCTTAGTGGGCTGGGTGGGTGGGTTTATTGTCTGCATCATCCCCCTCTGGAGGGTCACAGCTTTCATCGGTAACAACATAGTGACGGCTCAGATTATCTGGGAAGGTCTTTGGATGAATTGCATAGTGCAGAGCACTGGAGAGATCCAGTGTAAGGTGTATGATAGCCTGCTGGCTCTGCCCAGCGACATGCAGGCAGCCAGAGGCCTCACCGTGTTCTCCGTCCTGCTGTGTGGTCTAGCTCTGACCTTGGGGGTACTGGGAGTTAAGTGCACCAAATGCATAGGCATTAACAGCGTCAAGGCCCGCTTTGCTCGCATTTCTGGTGCCCTTTTTGCCATTGCAGGGTTCCTTTACCTTGTGCCTGTCTGCTGGACTGCCCACTCCATCATCAGGGATTTCTACGATCCACACGTGGCGGCTCCGCACAAACGAGAGCTCGGCCCTGCTCTTTACATCGGTTGGGTGGCATCAGCTCTGATGCTCATTGGGGGCTCTCTGCTCTACGTGGGGTCAAGTCCTCCTGGCATCCCAGGCTCCCCCACCTTCAGCAGTGGAGAAAGTAGTCCCCGTAGGGCTCCTGCCACACAGGTCAAAGGTTACGTCTGAAAACCCTCAGATCCACCTTAAACGATGACAAACTTCTTTTATGGCTCCATGTAAATTTGCTCTTTGTCATAATTTTTAAAGTAATGTTACTCCAGTTTACTTTTGTCTTTGTAAATCTGCACAATGCTTTACAGGGAAGTTCACATGTATTTTATAATTTCATACCCAATTTTTTTCTATTAACATGTTTTCTGTTTGTCAGTAAAACACAATAAAAGTTGTTTCCTCTGCTGAGGAAAATGGTGTGGGCACATTTTCACAAAAGCAAACTCCTCCAGCTGCAAGTGTCCAGAGAAATACTGATACACAAATCATAGTAGTAGTAGTACTAGTAGTAGTACTCACCATAGTAGTGTTTAGAAATAAAAACAACTTTTAACAAAATATTAAAACGTCATTGCTGTTGAATGAAAGAATAATAAGGGATGTTTGTACATCTGCCAATGGCACCATATTGTTGAGAAGTGTGTGTGTGTGTGCGCGCGCGCGCGCGTGCACAGTGTAGAAGAGAACACACAAACACACACACACACATATATATAGAGAGAGAGGTCAGCTGATGACTTTATCTCACTCAAACTTAATAAACGTAAAGTTTTCCAATCATTTTAAACATTTATTTTGGTCATTTTAGTTACGTTCAGACATCAACTGCGATCGGTAGAGTTTTGATGCTCATGGTTTTTCTACCCTGATCTGTCTGCTACATGAAACATCCCACGATGCAACAAGGAAAAAAAACTTGCTTCTTGACATTTCAGTCATTTCTCGCGGAAGTTTCATTTAAATGACTCATACAAAAAGTTTCAGAGACATCCATTTCCTCGTTCCTGCGTTGCTCTGTCAGACTGTGTACTCTCCGTTCGCGACAGCAGAAGACAGAGCAGCACAATAACACTTTACAGAACAATACAGCACCATGACAACAATGGCCAGCAGTGTTCCGAGTGCCAGGTAGTGACTCATGCCTGACCTAAGCGAGCCTGTACCAGCGATGGCGGAGCGATGCTGTCAACACTGTAAGGCTCTGCCATTTTAACTGTTAGTTGGAAGCACGGGGAGAGACTGGTGCACCATTTAGATAGTCAATAATCACAGGAGTGTTCCGTAATCGGAAGGTTGCAGGTTCGAGCCACGCTCAGTCTGTCGCTGTCTTTGTGTCCTTGGGCAAGACACTTAGCCCTCCTTGCCTGCTGGTGGTGGTCGGAGGGACCGGTGGCGCCTGTGCTCGGCAGCCTCACCTATGTCAGTGTGCCCCAGGGCAGCTGTGGCTACATGGTAGCTCATCCCCACCAGCGTGTGAATGTGTGTGTGAATGGGTGAATGACTGATTGTGTTGTAAAGCACCTTGGGGGGTTCTAGGACTCTAAAAGGTGCTATATCAAATACAGGCCATTTACCATTTAAAATGACATCAGCAACTCTTGACAGTGAAAATAAACCATCCATCTGAAGCAATCATACAAGTCAGCGTCACTGAGATCACCTGTGAATGACACCCTCGTAATCTCCTCTGACCAATACCCTGTGTTGGTATTTTGTTTGGATTTGAAATCAGAGAATTCATCAAACTAGCAGGCAAGAAATTATATACAATATTACTATTTGTCTGTTTCAAGTGAGAGCTGAGGTTGACTTTAAATGTTTCTACCACTGAAAGCATTGGTGAACAGGTGATTTGCTGCACCTGTAACCACACCTATTTCATTCTGAGGTTCCTGGACAGCAGGAGAAGAATTAAACCTCTGGAGGTTAGGAAAATTAAGGTTCCAGGGTGTGAAGTTACTCTGATCTTTGTGTTTATCATCCCTCTAGAAATTAAGATCACTGTATATAATACTGGGATATGTAAAGTAAATTAGGTTGGCCATGCTAAAATAATTATTCTGTAATTGTAATTGTCGTAGGTCATCTCTAGGGAGACACCACTGTTTCTGAGGCTGCTGAATCTCACAGGTTTCCTTCAACAGTGAAAACATGAGTGTGTCACGCATTACCCAGTGACGGTCATTAATGCGTAATCTCTTCTCAGTGTGAGTTTTCCCAATTAAAACACCTTCAGCATGCATCAGGACAAGACTAAACACAGGAGCAGTGTTTTTGTTACAGTGAGTTTCTGTCTAGTCTGGAATGATCTGATAATAAAGCAACAATCAAATAACAATATTCAGCAGAAGAAACAGGGAACGGCCACAACAATAAAACTGGGATAAACACAGAACTTGCGTTCGTGCCAGTGCTGGATCATGAGGAACTGCTGACTGTCTCCAGTCACTGTGTGAGTGGCAGGTGAACAGGTCGAGCTACACCAATCCTTGTTTTTTCGTACCGTTAACTTTTATTATATGCTCCTTTCTGCGCTGGCTTTAATGCTAGTTACTACATCTCCCAATGATTACCATAGTGTCTCATGGTGTAACTGGTTTTCAATGGTAGCAGTCTTAAAAATACATAAATGGCACGGAGAAAAGAGTTGGATTCCCTACTGCTTCAAGCATCCTCCCATCATTTACATCTGGATACAGTAGAGATCTCACAGGAGGGCCCCAAGCTGCAAAACCACCATCTGATGGGCTGTTCCAGAAAGAGGCCTTTCATCAGTAAAAATGACAACAAGTGTAAAAGATGGAGTGGATTCATCACGCAGCCCATCTGGCACATCCTACCCTCTTAACCTCTCACATTCTGCTCTGCGTTTTACATTTATCTGTGAGCCGTGATAAAACAACACGTCTCGATTCCCGCGCTAAGACTTGATTAAACTGTGTTCTCAGGCGTAGGCACATTTGAGAGGCTTATTGGTGAGTACACAAAACATCAAGTAAATTAGTTGTAAGTGCTCAAAAGAGTAATGGTTACCATCTTTTTATTTAATGGTAAAAACAACTCTGCAATGTAGAAATTTGGGATACAGTTATAGGATTTGAAATAATACATCAATTCAATTCAAGTTTAGTTATAAAGCGTCAAATCACGACAAGAGTCGTCTCAAGGACCTTCACATGGTAAACATTCGAATACAGGTCAGCTCATTAAGCCAATCAGTAAAAGTTTCCTATATAAGGAACCCAGCAGGTTGCATCGAGTCACTGACTAGTGTCAGAGTCTTTACAGCAATCCTCATACTAAACAAGCATGCAGCGACAGTGGAGAGGAAAACTCCCTTTTAACAGGAAGAACCCTCCAGAGAATCCTGGCTCAGTATAAGCAGCCATCCTCCACGACTCACTGGGGATCGAGAAGACAGAGCGCTCGCACACACACACACACACACACACACACACACACACACACACACACACACACACACACACACACACACACACACACACACACACACACACACACACACACACACACAAGTAGTGTTTTTATGGTTACATTGTGATTTCTTAGTAAATATTCTATTTGGTGAGAGATAAACTTTATTGTATTTATCCTAGTGAATCTATAATTAAATTGGTAAACTAGTAGTAGCACATCCAACGTCAAAAAAGGAGAGGGAGAATGTTTCAATGATTAGCAGCAGTGTTCAAGACGATGGCCCCCTCCATGAGGCCACCACAGCTCAGCAGAACACCGTTGTAGCTTCTTCTGGGGAGAAAAACACTTAGAGAGAAAATAACGTTAACAGCTGAAATAGCAGGAAATAATACAGTTAAAGAGCAGATTGTAGAAGAAAGTAGTCGAGTGTGGAAAGTGGTCAGTGTGTCCTCCAGCAGTCTAAGCCTATAGCAGCATAACTATACCTCTGGATAACATGGCCTTTTAGATGGAGGCATGTTGGAGGCAGGGCAAGGACAGGAGAGATGTGATCTCTCTTTTAATTCTCATCTGAACTCTAGCTGCAGCATTTTGGACAGGCTGAAGACTTTATTGTGGACTTCCTGAGAGTGATGAATTACAGTAATCCAGTCTTGATGTAATAAATGCATGAACTAGTTTTTCAGAATCACTCCTGGAAAGGATGCATCTAATCTTAGCGATATTCCAAAGGTGGAAAAAGGAAATCCTACAGACCTGTTTAACCTGGGATTTGAATGACATGTCCTGGTCAAAGATAACACCAAGGTTCCTTACTTTGTTCTAGGAGATTAATGTAATGCCATTCAGGTCAGGTGACTGACTCAGCAGTTTCCTTTTCTGAATTTCAGATCCAAAGATGAGAACTTCAGTCTTGCCTTGATTTAAAAGCAAAAAGTTTAGAGTCATCCAATTTTTTATGTCCTCAAGACAAGCCTGTAATCTACCCAACCGATTAGGTTCATCAGGGTTAATGGAACTGAGTATCGTCAGCATAACAGTGGAAATTTGTCCCACGCTGTCTAATGATTTTACCAATTGGGAGCATATATGTAGTAAAAAGAATTGGTCCAAGCACTGAACCCTGTGCCACTCCACAAGTAACCCTGGAGTAAGATTTAAATTGTTCCAAAGTAAAACAGGAAGAACTATTTGCCCTAACCCACTTTTATTAAAAAGGCCTCACCTCACCTTCTTCCGCTTATCCGGGTCCTTCCCGGGTGTCTGAGTTCCTCGCCCAATCCCTAAGGCTGAACCCGGCTACCCTGCGAAGGAAACCCATTTCAGTCGCTTGTATCCGCGATCTTGTTCTTTTGGTCATCACCCAAAGCTCATGACCATCGGAGAGGACTGACTGGTAAATGGAGAGCTTTGCTTTCCGGCTGAGCTCCCTCTTCACCACGACAGATCAGTTTAGCGTCCGCATCACTGCAGATGCTGCCCCAATCCACCTGTCGATCTCCTGCTCCCTCATTCCCACTTGTGAACAAGACCCTGAGATACTTATACTCCTCCACTTGGGGGAGGACCTCTCTCCCGACCCGCAGTTGGCAAACCACCCTTTTCCGGTCGAGAACCATGGTCTCATACTTGGAGGTACTGATCCTCAACCTCAACCTCATGGTAAATCTAAAATCTGATGGCAAAAGTAGTGGCAGGCCAAAAGTATCGTGGCCAACCAGGAAGTATTGTGGTACTAGCTGTGTCTACTCAAGGCAGCCACAGAAAGTGCTGCTACAGGCTGCCACTGCCGCAATTTGAGCTCGGCCCTGCTGTTAGATTGAGATTCTAATCTGTGCCCCAGAGAAGCTGGTTGGCAAAGTCAGAGACTCTCTTGGTCAGCTTTCTTCTCACACCAAACCCTCTGTCAGAAATCTTGGTTTGACCTTTGACCCAGCTCTCACCCTGGATTCTCATGTCAGTTCTCTTGTTCGCTCTTCCTCCTTCCATCTCAGGAACATTGCTAACCTAAATTTGAGACTGTTTACCACACCTTCATCTCCTCACGCTTAGACTACTGTAACTCTCTTTTCACGTGTCTGAGCAGAACCTCCCTGAACCGTCTACAGGTGGTTCAGAACGCCTGTGCTCGGCTTCTGACCAAGTCCTCCAAATACACCCACATCACCCCGCTTCTCCTCCAGCTTCACTGGCAGCCAGTCAACTTCAGGGTTTATTTCAAGATCCTGGTTCTGGTCTATAAGGCCTTACATGGACAAGCACAATCTTACATTGGTGATCTTCTTAGTCCCTACACCCCCAGCAGGTCCCTGAGGTCCAGTGACCAAAGCCTACTGGTTGTGCAGCACCAGGCTGAAAACAAAGGTGACAGATCATCTGCTGCTGTGGCCCCCAGACTCTGGAACTCTCTCCCCCTGAGTCTGAGATCAGTGGACTCAGTGGACTCCCTTAAAAAGCAGCTGAACTCTCACTTGATCAAGCTGGCTTTTGCGTGACCTTCATTGTCACCCTCTCTTTATTCTGCTCATTCTACCTATTCCACCTTTTCCAGGATCCACATTCATTTTCTCTCTCTCCCTTTCCTTACATTTTTTAAATCACAATTTTTTTTCTCCTCATTTAAAAACATATTTAAATCATTAAACAAATTTAAGTAATTTTTTTGTTTGTATTGTTTTCTATATTTATTTTCTTTCTGTGTTGATAATTACTATAATGCTGATCTGGGCCGTACTGGTGATGGAGATCCCCCCAAAAATTCACAGGTGTTTACTTATTTTTTTCCATTGTCAACTGTTTACCTTTTCACCTGTAAGTGGTTGTTGTTGCACTTACGTTTCCCTGTCACCAGGGGGAGACATTTTCTTAACTGTGGCGGAAGTTAGTAGTCGGAAGCGCACCAGCAGCTAAACTAGCAGAGAAGCTAATAGGTCCTCAGAAGTGAGAATATCCTCAGATCAAACCAAACGCCTCGACCGCCTCCCTGACACTCTCGGATAACTATGGGAAAAGGTGGAGGTACATTTGAGAGGCTTCTCGGTAAGTCAACAGCGCATTTGTCATGTCAGTAGCTGCATTTGTTCAAAGTTACGGTGTTTGTGTCGTTTTGTGTTGACAGGGCTGTGGCTCTTAGGCCAAGCTAGCTTAGCCTGATTTTGTTCGCAGACTCAAACTGACTCGTTTAATTTATCAATGGACAAAAAAGTTCACCGAAGCCGTCCACTTTGGCCTCTGAAACCGGAACTGTACGAATCAGATGGTAAATCAAATTTGTTAGCATGTCATTTCAACATGAGTTCTGGTTATTTGGTTTCCTAAACAATAGTGACGTTTTTGTTCATTTGTTGGCATATCTCCCAAAATGTGAACAAGTCACAAACGTACTAGTGATAAAGCGAACACACCTACTGTAAGACAAGACTGTTTTGTTTGTAGAGCACATTTCAAACACAGGTAATTCGATGTGCTTTACAATTATCAGGACGATATGAAAACAACATAAAAACACAAATTAAAACACACACATATAGTTCAGAACTAAAGGAGAAGAAAAAGTTACAGCGCAGATTCCAGCGGAGATAACGAAACATAAAAAACAAGGCTTTTAAAGTGCTGATGGGTACATTAGGGTTTTAAGTTGGCCACCTCCACCAGCTCCTCCTGCAGGACCCCAAGGCGTTCCTGGGCCAGTTTGGAGATGTACTTTCTCCAACGTGTCCTGGGCCGACCTGGGGGCCTCCTGCCAGCAGGATATGCCTGAAACACCTCCCTGGGGAGGTGTCCAGGAGGCATCCTAACAAAATGCCCAAATCACCTCAACTGACTCCTCTTGCTATGGAGGAGCAGCGGCTCTACTCCGAGTCTCACAAATGTCCGAGCTCCTCACCCTATCCCTAAGGCTGAGCCCAGCCACCCCACGGAGAAAACTCATTTAGGCTGCTTGTATCCGCGATCTTGTTCTTGATCTTGTTCATCACCCAAAGCTCATGACCATAGGTGAGGATTGGGATGCAGACGACCGGTAAATGGAGAGCCTTGCTTTCCGTCTCAGCTCCTTTTTCACCACAACAGGCCGGTTCAACGTCCACATCACTGCAGACACAGCCCCAATCCGCCTGTCGATCTCCCGCTCCTTCCTTCCCTCACTCGTGAACAAGACCGCGAGATACTTGAACTCCTCCACTTGAGGCAGGACCTCTCTCCTGACACAGAGTTGGCAAGCTGCCCTTTTCTGGTCGAGAACCATGGTCTCTGACTTGGAGGTGCTGATCCTCATCACAGCCGCTTCACACTGGGCTGCTAACCTCCCCAGCAGGAGCTGTAGATCAACTCCACACCCTCAACACCATGGCCAAGGCCTGTACTCCTGGAGCCTGTACTCCTGGAGTGCCCTTCACAGGGTGCCCAATGGGGACCTGCTCATAAGCCTTCTCCAAATCCACAAAACACATGTGGATTGGTTGGGCAAACTCCCATGAGTTGAACGGCCACCTAATCGTGGTGGAGGAGTTTGAGTGCCCTAAGGATCTTAGGAGCTGTGTTGTCCGGGGCACTTTGTGCCCCTGGTAGGGTCACCCATGGGAAATTGGGCTTAGGTGATGGGTGAGACAAAGTACGGTTCAGAAGACTCTTCGTGGAAGTTGGGACATTGGGCAACAGAAACCATCAAAATAAAAACAATCTTTTTAGTATTTGTGCTTTATTCGTCCTCAGAAAATAAGATATTTGCACTAAGTAAGCACTGTTTCCTTAAGTTGTTTAGCTCCTCAAAGAAAACCCACCCGACCATAGTTTCAAAGCTGTTTTTGTCTTGAGAAAAACAGAACATGTGGACAGAAATCAACTAATAAATGCTGATTTTATCATTTCTAATCATCAGATGACAACAGCTGGTGAATAAAATCTACATTAATTTTAACATTATCTGCAATAAGTTGTGTAAACATGTGAAGGACTGTAATTATTAAAGGGGCTTGGTGATATTGGAAATTAAAAAAAAAAATTTGCTGTGGGAAATAAGTCAGAAGTTGGATATGTTTTCGCTACAGGACATGTTTTTATGTTTTAGACCGTTTTAATGGAACTGTAGTCGAAAGGCAAATGTATTACAGCTGTCTTTGGTCTGAACCTTAAAGGAAAACAAGTAATCTGACAATTCCACCTTTTCAAAGCGAGATAAAGGTAAAAGTTTGTGATGACCAGATCAACATTTGACCCACCCAAACAGATTTGGAAAGGTCTGAAGGAAAAGGTTCATTTGAATAAACAAATCAGTCTCCCAGAGCTGATACTGGTTAGATTCTGCCCTAAATGGACGTTTAGAAGTGAAACGGTTAAGTAAATGTAAAACGTATCGGTCTCACACACACAATTCTGCTTATGTTAATGTACAACAAGTAAATCAATCATATTGATACTATATCAGGGCTATTCAATTCCGGGCCTCGAGGGAAGAGTATCCAGCACTTTTTGGTTTTAACCATCGACATAAATATACTGGACATCTCCTTTCCATAGGCTCCAATATCACGTTTTTGAGGCCAAACGTTAGTTTAGTGAATGGGCTTACATTTAACCTGCACTTAATGATTTAGAGCCGATTTTAAATGTGAAGATGATTCATGAATAACTGGTTTAGTACTGAGTAATAAAATCTGTATCCACTCCATGCTGAAGGCCTCAGAAACCTCTCATAGCTTAAATATTTAACATATAATCTGTGTAGCATAGACAATCTACATGTCTTGTTATTTACAGACAAAGCCACCAGTCAGCTGCTCCTGGAGACGGACTGGGAGTCCATTCTTCAGATCTGTGATCTCATCAGACAAGGAGACACACAGTGAGTTATTCAGCATTAAAGTCTTCAAATTCAGATATTGCTGCTTGCTGCTGTTGCTAAGTCCCTTCTACATGTGTACTGTTGTCCTCATAGAGCTAAACATGCCATTGGAGCCATAAAAAAGAAGCTGAATGACAAAAATCCTCATGTGGCACTTTATGCATTAGAGGTAAGGCCCGTTTACTCAGGATGGTTATAACCTGGTCAACGGAAAGTAGTACTGTACATCTTTTATTTACCATTACATAGTATCTATTAGTGCGTTATAAGTTTTGGTAGGAGGAGGTAACCAAAGAAAACAAAAGTAAAGAAAGGGACTTTCCTGCTCAGGTCCTGGAGTCGGTGGTGAAGAACTGCGGGCAGACGGTGCACGATGAGGTTGCAAGTAAACAAACGATGGAGGAACTGAAGGAACTCCTTAAGGTGATATCTTAGTACGCTGTTAAACATTTGACTTCTCCTTGGTCTGTTTACCATTGTCCTGTTCATTCAGACTGTCTTTAAAATCAGAATATTGGAGACCCAAGCTTTGTTGTGTTTGAATCTCTAAACTCTAAAACATTTGGGATTGAGAGGAAAAGACATTTCAAGCAAAACATGTACTGTTGAATGCAAAATGGATTGTCAAACACTTTTTGGAACCGAATTAGGACTTAAAAGTCACAGTGGTCACCAGTTTTAACTTGTATTCTTTGTATGTTAACTAAGACAGGCTCGTAGCTGAAAGAAGTTAATATTTAACTCAAATTTGGTTCAGTGCAGATTTGCGTGATGTCTTTATTTTGCTTATACATGTTTAAAACATGGTGGGTTTCCACGTCTCAAACATGGTCTGAGTCGGTTATCGTCTGTATTCTAGCTGAAAGTCTGGTGACCTTTACCTCCTCTGTTACGTCTCAGTGACAGCTCGCAGCTCTCTGGCAGCTGGTTGCATTACAGCATGACCTAGCAGCCTTTGATTGGTTCCTCACTGAGTCATGTGACTCTGGCTCTGCAGCTCCAGCCATTTTCAACTTCCTGGTGATGTCATAGTTTTGTGACAGAAACACGAAGAGTTCCCACCTCTCCTTGTCCTGAGTGTTGCTAAAATGTCTTGGCCTGTCATACAACAGCAGTCAGCTTTGAAACAGGAAGAACTGGGTGCTTTTTTGTATCGTTTTATTCTATTGGGTGTGTTTGTTTAACCACCAGAAGCTGACAGAACCAAATGTCAAAAACAAGATCCTGTACCTGATCCAGGCCTGGGCTCACGCCTTCCGCAATGAGCCCAAATACAAGGTGGTTCAGGACACCTACCAGATCATGAAAGTGGAAGGTAAGTGCTGTTAGTGGGTTGTGTTTTTAACTCAACCTCAAAGGAAGATACTCTGTATTTTAAATTATTCATCATTCATCCCAAATGTTTTTCCACTACTTTCTGCATACCTAATCATTTATTTATATCTCCACAGGTCACGTTTTCCCTGAGTTTAAGGAGAGTGACGCCATGTTTGCTGCAGAGAGGGTGAGTTGAGCTCCACAGATGTACACATTTAGTTATTTGGCTGAACTGGGAGCCAAACACGCTACTTTCTTTGGTTTGTTTTGTGACCTCTGCTCCATGCAGGCCCCAGACTGGGTTGATGCTGAGGAATGCCACAGATGCAGAGTTCAGTTTGGAGTCATGACAAGAAAGGTAGACCGGGCTTTATCCTCCCCATGATCAGGGTTTCCCCCAGTGCTTTAGCTCGGCCCCCGCCAGGATGGAGAGTCACTTATTTATTTCTTTTAATACTTTTTAATGCACAAAATTAACATTTAAAATGTTTAAACGAAAATATGTCTTTAACCTGCAAGTCCAACCTACCGCAGTAGCGTCTTACACTCGACCTCTCAGTCAGCTCCAGCCCCATGCATCCTTATGGCAATTCTAACTGAGCCAATCAGCACTGAGCAGCGTAAGTTACACACACGCTGACTAGTCCCGCCCCTCATGTGCCTCTCTGCCTGTGAGTAACCAGACTAGTTCTCTGTGGGGACAGAGGGCGAGTCTGGCAGGCCAGGCTGGTAGCTAGAAGCATCTCCAGCTCGTCGTCAGAGCAGCCATTCAGCTGCGATGGTGAACATGGAACCAGCAGGTTTAATCCAGAACGGTTAGCTGGGCGTTTAATTGGTGGTTTAAATGCCTTTACTGGCTGCTAAAACCTGACAGGCCCATCATACATGTTATGTGGCTTTACTTGATCTCACCGAGTGACTTGGCTGTGACTACTACTCTGAGCTTCAGGTAAGTTATTTTAGTGTGTATTTTGTGGTGTGGACAGTTTTCAGAGCACTTTTAATTTTAATTGTTATATGAGTCTTTCTATCTTTTTAAACTTTGACATTTATTGTCAATCTACAGAAATAACTATAATAAATGGCTTATAACACCACTCTTTAGTCATAATTGTAAACTTTGACAACTTTTACTTCTACAAAAGCATGGTGGGCTACCCGTGTGCTTCTCTACCGCCGAGCCTGAGTTGTCTGGGGGAAACCCCGCATGAGGCTTCTTCATACTGAAGCTCTTTTGCTTGGAGATCTTGTTTGTAAATGGACTTAAATATGTGCTCTGGGTTTTCCAGCACCACTGTCGATGCTGTGGCCAGATCTTCTGTGGGAAGTGTTCGTCCAAGTACTCCACCATTCCAAAGTTTGGCATTGAGAAGGAAGTGCGTGTTTGTGAGCCCTGCTTTGAGCAGTTAAACAAGTGAGTCCCCCGAGATGATGATGATGATGATGATGCGTGTAGCTGCTCACTCCGCTCAGACTGACTGATTACTACCACTGAGAGAACCTTGGTCCAAACAGATAAGCCATTCACATCAAGGCAAATTCTGTTTCCTGTTTCCTAACATGGTCATAGCTGTGTTTATAAATAAACATCAGTGTTTATTAAAGGGCTGCAGGTCATGTGCCTGTATGCGTCTCTTTTACAGTTCTCTGATGCTGGACAGACATTTGATGGAGCAAATATGATTCATTTGAAAGAAAATGAACTTTTTTAGCTTTATAAGTAAAAGGACCAATCAAATGTGGCTTCTTTACTAAATAATGGTTTATATTTGTTGTTGTACAGCTCCCAGGGCTCCAGCAGGGCTCTAAAGCCACTTTCTTTGCTATATTTATTCTACCATTTGTCATTGTTCTTGTGATTTGTTAAAATGTTTAGTAGAAAAAGAAGTGGATTAAAGGTCTAAGAGCAGCGCTGCAGTGTTTATCATTAAACCTTTTAAACATGCGTTGCTGCATGTCATCCAAGACTCACCTGAGATGATGCTTAACAGCAAAAATTATGTAAACTTAGTAGACACACAGGGTGTGTGTGTGTGTGTGTGTGTGTGTGTGTGTGTCACACACCTGAGGGTAAGTTGTTGACTGTAAACATATTTGATCGTTGTCGGTGGTGTGTTTCTGAGCTGTTCCTGGTGTTTGTGGCACGCTCCTCTCATTCACGAGGTTGTTTGTCCTCCCTGATCCCTTTCCTCACCAGCCACCCCTCCCTCTCTCCTCCTCTTAGAAAGGCCGATGGAAAAGCTCCTTCTACGGGCTCCTCTGAGCTGCCACCCGAGTACCTGACCAGCCCACTGTCCCAGCAGTCGCAAGTAATTATTTAAAAACACACGATCTTCGTTTTCTTTTGCCTCCTGACCACTTTCTGTATCTTCACATCTCTCTTTATAAGCAGATGCCTCCAAAGAGAGATGAGGCAGCTTTGCAGGAGGAGGAGGAGCTCCAGCTGGCTATTGCACTTTCCCAAAGTGAGGCAGAGGAGAAGGAGCGTATGGTGGGTTATGCAGCGGAAATTCTATTTCATCTATTCACGCCGTAATAAAAACCCTGACGTGAAACGTTTCTGTCACTTATAGAGGCAGAAGAACTCGTACTCCATCTACCCCAAAGCTGATCCCACCCCGGTGACGTCTTCTGCACCTCCAGTCAGCACCCTTTACACTTCCCCGGTGGTGAGGACACTCATTTTTATTTTATTCCTAATTAAAATGATTTTGAAGCTTATAAAACGTTTGCATGATTGCAGAACTCCTCTGCTCCATCAGCTGAAGACGTGGACCCTGAGGTACACGTGGTTTACTGCTTCTCAGTTAAACGTTGGTAACATTGTCAGTGGAAAGTTTAACTGTTGAGTTTTTATGTGATTTTTGTGGCATAATTCCAGCTGGCCCGCTACCTGAACAGAACTTATTGGGAGAAAAAGCAAGAGGAAGCTCGAAAGAGTCCCACCCCCTCTGCCCCTGCCCCCGTGCCCTTGGCTGAACCCCCTCAGTCGGTCAGCCAGCCTGTTGAAAGCCACGTCCCAGTCCAGCCCGTCAGCATAGTGGAGGTGTGCTGACAGTAGAAATACTCGTGTGTTTATTGTATTTTTGCTCAGACCTTCTCCTCGTGTGTTCCCCATCACCCCCACCTTTAGCAGCAGTACCAGAACGGTGAGTCCGAGGAGAACCACGAGCAGTTTCTGAAGGCTCTGCAGAACGCCGTCACCACCTTCCTTAACCGCATGAAGAGCAACCACATGCGTGGGCGCAGCATCACGAACGACAGCGCCGTGCTCTCGCTCTTCCAGTCCATCAACAACATGCACCCACAGCTGCTGGACATCCTCAACCAGCTGGATGAAAAAAGATGTGAGTCCTAACGTGAGCAGTTTGTGTAAACCCAGACGTGTCCTTTTATGCCCACTGTCTGAACTGTCTGATGCGTTTTGTCAGTGTACTACGAAGGACTCCAGGATAAGTTGGCCCAGGTGCGCGACGCTCGAGCCGCCCTGAACGCACTCCGAGACGAGCACCGAGAGAAGCTGCGCAGAGCTGCAGAGGAGGCAGAGAGGCAAAGGCAGATCCAGCTGGCACAGAAACTGGAGATCATGAGGCAGAAGAAGCAGGTGATTGACTTGTTTTCTCTAGTAAAGCAGATGCGTTGTTGTAGTGTTTATCACATTGTTGTTTACATGTGAATACTTCAACTTTAGGAGTATTTGGAGATGCAAAGACAGCTTGCTATTCAGCGCCTCCAGGAGCAGGAGAAGGAGAGGCAGATGCGTCTGGAGCAGCAGAAGCACACAGTCCAGATGAGAGCTCAGATGCCTGCTTTCTCTCTGCCCTATGCTCAGGTACACATGGCCTCCGTCACTATTCAGTCCCACTAGAATGTAGTTTTAATGATGACTAAATACGCTGTCGTCCAGATGCAGTCTTTGCCTCCTAATGTTGCTGGAGGAGTGGTGTACCAGCCTGGTGCTCCACCCAGCTACCCAGGAACCTTCAGTCCTGCTGGGTCTGTGGAGGGGTCACCTATGCACAACATGTACATGAATCAGCCCGGGCAGACTGGGCCAGGACAGTACCAGGTCATGCCCGGTGCTGCCACAGGTGAGGGAGTCCATAGAACATGTGATCGGTTGGAGGAAACGTCTGAAAGTCATACTTAGGTTAGGGCTGTCGCGGTAACCGCAAAAATGAAATATCGCGATATGAAGAAGCCCACCGCGCTGCATCATGCGCCACCGCGATTACTGAACTTGGTTCAACTCAATGATGCATGTTGAGAAGGATGGCTGCACTGGTATCAAAACGAAACGTTACTTCGCTCCTGTGGGAGCGCTTTGGTTTTCAGTACATCAGCTGCTGCGCAGCCAGAGTCCTTGGCCGAGACAGAGCTGCCACCAGCGGCAAATAAATAAATAAATAAACGCTCGGAGACCTGCTGAAGTCCCGGACAAGCACTGCTTCTGCAGCCGTCCCAAAGAGAGTTTGAGCCGAGCTGGAGCTCACTCGCTACCTGCAGGAGGAATGCATCCACCCTAAAGAAAACCCCCGTGACATGGTGGAGCAACAAACGGGAGAGATTCCCTTTGCTCGCCAGAGTCGCACGCAGGTACGTGTGTGTTAGTGCAACGAGCACACCATCCGAGAGGGTTTTCAGTGTTGCTGCAAATGTTGCCGCCCCTCTCAGATCCTCTCTCAAACCGTAGTTAACATGCTGGTTTTCCTTGTAGGTAACAAGGACGTGACCGAGCTATAAATCACCGTCATTCGTGTGTGTGAAAGTGAAATGATAGTGCGCCCGCCCCCCGGCGCGCGCGCGCGCGCGCCCGGTACATGTAATTTTTTATGCTTGATTTTAAACAACTAAACAAAATGGGGACTTGTTTCTTATTTGTTAGATGCTGCAGCCAAATTTGCATTTAAAAGTTTAACCTTCTCCTGAATTTTGTTGTTTTTAAGTTCAGTCGGACTCCGACTGTCGGAGAAACAAGCGTTACTGCGATCTGCGTTGTTACTGCCCTTTGATCTGCATTCAGTAAAGTGTTATTAAAGAAGGCACAGCAATTTTTAACCTTTTTTAAATGTGTAAACATTATGTTTAGATAGTACTGCAATAAAAAAGTGCTGCAATAATATCGCACACCGCAATATTAAGCCACCCTGAATCACCGCAGGGGGAATTCCTCAACCGCGACAGCCCTAACTTAGGTCATTGTTTGTCCAGAGGAGCCTGACTAATTCTTATTGATTATGGTTGCCATGTGGTCATCTCTGCAGCTCAAAGTAAAAAAACACCTTTGATATATTTTTTTTAAATAATTTAAAACAAAATGTAATTTCACAACACACATTGTTAGGAGAGGTTATTAAAGCACATTAGGACTCTTCTGAATCATTAGTTGATGGATGTGTGTGCTTCCTTTGTTTGTTTTTGGCAGATCCCAACATGGTTAATGCATACATGTACCAGGCTGCAGGTGCCAATGGGCAACCTCCTCCAGGGCAAGCCCCGCCCACCACTAGTCCACCTTACTCCAACTATCAACCCACACCCACACAGGCCTACCAGGTCAGACTCATCCGCCCGAACAGTTTCTGACCTTTAAATGAACTTTTTTGTCCCACTAAGGGGTCTGTTTGTGTTCTGTGCAGAATGTGGTCTCGCAGGCACAAAGTTTGCCTCCCATGTCGCAGCCTGCCCCCGCCAACGGGATGCCTTACATGAGTTACCAGCCGTACAACATGCAGAACATGATTTCAGCGCTGCCAGGACAGGATCCCAACATGCCCCCCCAACCGCCCTACATGCCCGGCCAGCAGCCCATGTACCAGCAGGTACCACATTATATTTAAATTTGGACAAAATTTAGTGTTACAACAATGTGTACAGCACTGTTGAATTATTATTCATATCTGCCCACCAATTTTCAAAGAAAGGAGAGGAATCCATCTTGTTCACAGCATATTTTTGTTGTGACATGCCAATTTGACCAATCGAAATCGAGACAGCATGCCAACAACAGTTTACACACTGGGGCCAACTTAGTGACTTTGTTGCTATTTCGAATGACTTTTCAGAGCCCCTTAACACCTCACTACACAAACCTAGCGACGTCTCTGACAACCCGTAGCTACTTTCTGAAGAACTTGGGCTACGTTCACACTGCCGGCCTGATGCTCAATTCTGATTTTTTTGAGTAAATCAGATTTTTTTTTGTGTGGCTGTTCACACTATGAGTGAAATGTGACATCAAACTCTCTCCAGTGTGAACGCTTCACAGCCTCAAAGTGACCCGCATGCGCAGAAGACAAGAAGTCATACTCCGTGTAGCCGACACCAGGAGCGGCAGAGTTGTGACGTGAACGTTTTCACTGACGGTTTATCCACAGTGACAGGATTACACCTGTTAATTCTATCGTTTTTGGGCTGGAGACTGTTTTACTCCTTGCTCTTCCTGAATTATTATTCACCAAAAATCTTGTGTTCATTTATTCACGAAGAATCCCCCTCTCATGGAGACCGGTGAGATGCTTTGCTCCAGCAGCACCTCCGGCTCCCGTTCTCTTGCTCTCCTGTATTTGTAATTCCTAAACCTAAAGCAGGAAGTCCAGACAGACTCCTGAACCCATCTGTCAGCGCTTCCACACACGACGCTCACATCTGCTGACTCAGTGACGCAGGAGACGGATTTAATGTGACAAGACCATTCAGACTGCAGTCGCTGTCAAAAACATCAGATATGTGTCAGAATCAGTACCACATATTCAAGCGACACGGATCGCATTTGAAAAAAATCTGATCAGTGCGTTCAGACTGTCATAAAAAAATCAGATATGGCTGCATGAGGGGGAAAAGGCGGATTTGATGTGTTTTGCCTGCAGTGTGAACGTAGCCCAAGTCATCAATGTTAGAAAAACTCAGCCTGCACTCCGGTGGCGGCTGGTGAATATTTTGAGTGGGTCACATTTATGCTCTCTCTTGATGTTAGATGCGCTAACCATATATCACCACTATGAGGCGCCAATTTACTATTCTTATGATAGAATCCACATTTCCTACCTCTTTCATATCGGTATGGTAAAAAGCCATCTGCTAGTTTGATGATGTCATTAGTGATGGCTCTTATCCTCTGCCTCTAGGCTTTTTAATTGTTGGTTCTTTTAAATCTTTTCATTTTCACGTTTCCTTTCCTGCAAGGTTGCTCCCCCTGGTGGCCCTCAGCAGCAACAACAGCAGCAGCCTCAGCAGCAGGTACAACAGCAGGCGCCTCAGGCTGTCCCTGGCAATGCCGAGGCTCAACTCATCTCCTTTGACTGAAAGCCTTCTATGCTGCAGTTTCACACACACACACACACACACTACACCATCCCTCTTCTTTCATCCTCCCCTTCTTCTGGAATCTAATGATGCCCTTTGGGAAAAGTACACAGATTACCCACGTTCCACGTTGCTGTGATGTTGTGGCAAAGTGAAATATTGTGATGATGTTGCAGAACTGTAGCTCTTCTCGTCTCTCCCCTCTGGAAAATGGGAACTGGGAGATGAAGCTGCTATGGAGAGCATCAAAGTCCAAATCCTTTTTCCTCTCTTCCATCCATCAGCTGATATATATGTAGTATTTCTTTATTAAATGAATAATAAGCGCAAGAAAACATGAACAAGAAAATATGATGCTATGATTTAAATGATAAAAAGAGGAAATGCAACCAGTCTGTTTCATATTTTTATAAAAGGCTAAATCAGCATGTTGAATTGAAGGGATTTTCCAGAATGAAACGTAGTGACTCGTTCTGACCGGGGCAGCGATTGGAGGTTGTGGGTTTCTTCTAAACTAGTGCAAACTCTGTTCTGGGAGTTCTTAAAGTGCTCTAACTCAGACATCCATCAGCCTCACAGATGAACATTCCAGTTCAGTCATCCCTCTCATGGACTTTGGGCTCCTTTTTTTTTTTTTTTTGGCCTTTTTGTCGTGTGCTGCTCGGACTGTTGAGCTCGACGTAGTTTTGAGATGAAAGAGTGCTGGAGGGGTGGTACGTGTTACGAGCGTTTGGACAGTTGTGAGATCACTTTCTAATCTTAACTTCATTTTATACAGAAAAAAAATTCATATTCACGCCTAGTTGCCATAAAATATAAATACTACAATTGGTCTGGAAATCCTAACAGCAACACATGCTCCTCACTAAAGTGTACTGTGTTGCCAAACAAAAAGACTCACTACAGAAGTAAAACTAGCTTAGTTTTCTTAAGCCTGTCACCAACTTTAAGTTGCCTTCAGGGGCCAAAATGTACATCTGTTTGGATTTAATTGTCATGGGAAGAGAGCGCCGTAGAAAGCACTCGTTCTCAAGTGTACTTGACTATTTAGAGAAGTGGAAATGCTTTTAGCGTGAATTCGATGTTCTGCATGTATGTATCACACTTCTGGTGATTCTGTAACTCTTCAGTTTCCATCTGTGGACTTCTTTACTCCATCTGACTAATCTGTCCAACTTTAAAGTACTTTTAAAATTATATTTAATAAATATCAGGTTCTTATTGTCCTTTGGCTCCGACTTGTGATTTATTTAAATAACGTTCTACATGGTTGGGTTGAAACATCAGCAATAACAAATTGTATTAATGTAAATACAGATTTGAGTCACTTGTGCATTCATATTTCTGCTAATTTAGTTTGGTTCACACAGAATTGATGTATGACTGGAATAGAATAGACCCATTAACCCCACAGGGGGGAAATACACTTGCTACAGCAGCACATGCACTTAGAGGAAACAGAAGAAAAATAATGTCACAGGTAAACACACCGAGGCAATAAGCTATTATTGAGGTGGGAGCAGCAAAATAAATCTGGTGTGATGCCATTTCCTGAATTCTGGTGTGTTTACACAGGTTATTAAACACGTATTTTACCTGCGGTAGTAAAACCTTAACTCGATAACCTTTTGTTCAACACGGCACTGGAACAGTGGAAACACTGGATGTACAGTTGGATGTCATTTGCATAAAGATGGCAGGTGATTATTTTAAAGGAGGTCTGGAAGAAAAGAAGAGGAAGCAGATAAGAGGAGGAAGAGTAGGGGCCCCAGCACAGAACCTTGAGGGAAACCATGTGTGAGGGATGTGGTAGAGGAATGCTCAGACTAATATGAGGAGAACCAGTCCAGAGCAGATCCTCAGGCAAAGAAATGGGAGCAAAGCTACCTAGGCTGACGGGCCGGGTTGGAGTCGGGAGAGGCAGAGAAAAGGCTGACGGGGAGATGCTAGATCTGACCTTATTGACTTTGTTCACAAAGAGACAGAGTGGATGGAGGCTGTATGAGAGGCGCCTCGTGATTTTTATCTTGAGAGCCGCTATAGAAATGATATTTTCTTCTTCTTAATTGCTCTTCTTATTGACTTTTCACCAAAATTATGTTTGGTGTTCAAACATTTCTAGTCGTATTGTTTAAAGTTTCCTGAAGATGAGGCTTTTATGGTAGTCGTCCATCTCAATCTAGAAAAACAAGATACAAGCCCTTAGACACGTGCTTTTAAAGAAACTGTAGGTGTCACGAGCATCTTCACAGATTTTCTTACCATCCTCTCCAAACGAAGCCCATTCCCATAGGCCAGCTGTCTGAGCACATCGATGTCTGGCAGCCCCCATTCTGGGTTCCTGTGCAGCCGAATCCAGGTAGTGAACAACAGAACCAGATCAGGCCCAGGCTGATTTAGCAAGATTCACCTCCATTGAACAAACATTTACTCTGCGTGTGTTCATTCTCACTTTAAATCACTTCTTTAATATAAATATGCTTAAATGGTGGATTAGTAATTTAAATATGAATTATCTGAATTAAAAATGTTTACTCTCAAACCGAACACACACCTCATCATCCGTAAGAAAAAAGAAATGCTTCACTCACAGTTTTCGGATCTCCTCATCCAGATGTTCGTTACAACTTGGTGCGATGATGCCGTTAACGGCAAATGCCTTGAAAATATTTAGAAATGCCTTTCATTTGTTTAAACCTAACATACCTCTGTATTCTAGAATAAAGCTGCGGCATATACATACCCCATATGTTATCAGAAGGCCATTTTGTCTGAGGATCTGACCTGCTCCACTGAAAACACCCTGTAGGAATCACAGAGACATTATGACTAAATACGTTCATCAAGGAAATGGTTTTAAGCCGCTCTACGAGCTGAACCATTGTACCTGTGCTGTTTTGAAGGAACTGTACTGCAGTAAGTTAATGGCAACAATAAGATCACAGGAGTTTAGCGAGAGACCTGCCCATTTCTCCCAAGGGTCACTGGCATCTAGGAGGACGGGCTGCAGCACAGTTTTCACCTGGGTTGCAGCAATATACGCTCTGATGCTGTAAACAATGGGTACTTTCATCACTGTTCTATTCATTTTAATACATCATGTAGCATGTTGTAATAGACACAAACCTGTCACAGTGTTCCTCTTTAATGTCCGATGGCTGCCAAGTGATAAACGGGATCTTCTGTGCAAACCGTGTGACATGCTGTCCAGTTCCAGAACCGAGCTCTAAAGCAGAAAGCTGCCTGTGAGACTGGTCCTCCAAGACGTCTTCAAGGACAGAACATAGAGCCTCCCAGTTTCTCTCTGCCCGAGGAGACAACAGCATCATCTGATGGAAGGACAAATGGGTCATGATTTCTTTAACGATCCTTCATAGCTGTATTAACTTTGAGGGATTCTTCTTACCTGCTCGTGTGATGGGCTGAAGGGACAAACAAGAAGGTGGCATGTTGGTGTAGAAGAGGTGGATGACTGCAACAGCAGATGGGTGCACAGATTACCCAGCTAAGAGGATTGATTCACCCTTTATGCTCCGACCCTGAACAGTAATAGTTAAAGATAAACATACACAGAAGACAAAAGGCTACTACAAAGTACATTCGCTGGACACTTTATTGGGTATACCTGTTCAACTGCTCGTTAACGCAAATGACTAATCAGCCAATCATATGGTAGCAACTCAATGCTTTTGGCATGTTGACATGGTCAAGATGATCTGCTGCAGTTCAAACCAAGCTTCAGACCGGGGAAGAAAGGTGGTTTAAGCGACTTTGAGTGTGGCATGGTTGTTGGTACCAGACGGGCTGGTCTTCTGGGATTGTCACACACAACCATCTCTAGGGTTTACAGAGGATTAAAAAAAGGAAAACGTCCAGTGAGCGGCAGTTCTTTGGGTGAAAATGCCTTGTTGATGCCAGACGTCAGAGAAGATTGGCCAGACCGGTTCGAGCTGATAGAAAGGCAACAGAAACTGAAATAACCACTCGTTACAACCAAGGTATGCAGAAGAACATCTCTGAACGTACAGCACGTCGAACCTTGAGGCAGATGGGCTACAGCAGCAAGACCACTCCTGTCAGCTAAGAACAGGAAACCGAGGCTACAATTTGCACAAGGTCACCAAATTTGACCAGATTTGGACAATAGAGGATTGGAAAAATGTTGCTGGTCTGATGAGTCTGGATTTCCGCTGCGACATTCAGATGGTAGGGTAAGAATTTGACATTAACAACATGAAAGCATAGATCCATCCCGCTTTGTATCAACGGTTCAGGCTGCTGGTGGTGGTGTGGGGGCATTTTCTTGGCACACTTTGGGCCCCTTAGTACTAATTGTTGTTGCAACGCCAAAGCCATGTCCATTATTTTATGATCACAGTGTACCCATCCTTTGATGGCTACTTCCAACAGGATAATGCTCCATGTCATAAAGCTTTAGTCACCTCAGACTGGTTTCTTGAACATCTCAATGAGTTCACTATCAAATGGCCTCTACAGTCACCAGATCTCTATCCAATAGAGCAGCTGTAGGATGTGGAGAAACGGGAGATTCACATCATGGATTTGTAGCCGACAAATCTGCGGCAACAGCGTGATGGTATCATGTCAATATGAACCAAAATCTCTGAGGAATGTTTCCAGTACCTTGTTGAATCTATGCCACGAAGGATTAAGGCAGTTCTGAAGGCAAAAGGGGGTCCAACTTGGTCCTAGCAAATGGTAAATGACCTGTATTTGATATAGCTCCATCTAGAGTCCTTGAATGCCCCGAGGCGCTTTACAACACAATTAATCAGTCAACCATTCACACACACGTTCACACCCTGGTGGTTCTGAGCTACATTGTAGCCACTGCTGCTCTGAGGCACGCTGATCGAGGTGTACCCAATAAAGTGGCCAGTGAGTGTATATGTTTAGTTGAAATATTTTAGCATGTTTTCTCTCATGTTGATAAGAATAATTTTAAACCAGAGTTCGATATTACTTAGCATCATCAGAAGAGATGTAATTAAATGTATTATATGTATCTTTTCAGGAAAACATACAATCTGATTGTTTCTGGAAAACTTTAAATTCTAGACTGCACAAAAAATGGCAGATCAGGATGGATGTCGATTGATAGCTTCAGATTAGGAGGAGCAATGTGGTTGTCATCCTGGCGGTGGAACACTGGACCAGCGATGCACCCTTAGGGGGGTTCTGGAGGGTGCGTGGGAGTTTTATGGATTTGGAGAAGGCGTTTGACCAGGGGATACTGGGACAGTGGTTCCTATCCTCACCTATGGTGACGAGAGTTGGGTAGTGACAGAGAGAACGAGATGACAGATACAAACAGCCCAAATGAGTTTTCTCTGCAGGGTGACTGCTCTCCCTTGGAGATAGGGTCATCCGGGAGGGGCTCGGAGTAGACCCACTGTTCCTCCACATTGAGAGGAGCCAGTTGAGGTGGCTCAGGCATCTGGTCAGGATGCCTCCAAAACACCTCCCAGGTGAGGTTGTTGAGGCACGTCCAACCGGGAGGAGGAGACCCAAAGTTATACCCAGGGCACGCTGGAGGGACTATGTCTCCCGGCTGGCCATGAAACGCCTTAAGATTCCCCCAGAGGAGCTGGCCCAAGTGGCTGGGGAGAGGAAAGTAAAAAAGAAAGAAAATTATCTTTTATGTAGTAATTCTCAAGATAAAAATCACGAGGTGCTTCATAAAGTAAAGATGACCTTGCTTAAGGCTTATTGTACAAAGCTGTACACGACCCATGGACTAACCATAAGAAATGCAGTATGCGTAGGCTGCAGATTGTCTGTAATGATGCTTTGTGTTTGATACTGAGGAAGCCTAGAGGGACGAGTGCAAGTGAGACTTTTGCAAATGCGAGGGTGAGCACCCTACAAGCTAAGCTGCCTTAAGTAATTTTACTCATACGTTTATCTGTAGGCTGAATTATTCTAAAATGTGATTGTTTTAAATCTGACCAGTACCTGTGTCAGTGCAACACATTACCAGTCAAAGATGTGGAAACACTGGTATAGTCTTTTTATTTTTTAGATTACAGGGAGTTACAATAATTTATGCTTTATAATAGACACTATTGTTATTATATTCTTTTGTTTCTGTTTTTCACGATTATTTGTTTCTTGTACGTTAGTGTGTCATATTGTGCTCATTTCATGTTATCTTACAATGTTTTTCTACTTCTGTGAATTAGACAAGAACAAAAAATTTCTAAATATTAAAAAGGTCTTTAAATTATTAAAAAATATGGATCAAATGAGAAATAAAGAATTGTAATAAAACATTTAAGGAAGGGGAAAGAGGTCTGGGCCTTTGTTTAGGCTGCTGCCCCGCGACCCGACCCCGGACAACCGGATGAAAATGGATGGATGGACAGCACAAAAAACCTTGGAACCTGCTACTCAGCATTTTCATTTCTATAGTTTCACTGTATTTAAATAAAGTCACAAGCTTCAGTCAAGTGATTAAATCAAATACGGGTTGTCCTTTAAAAAAATCCAAATAAACAGTTCCTGGAATGCGAAAGTATGTATTTTTTTCTTTGTGTGCATGTCCCTCGTGAGCTCCTGTAAGCTTTCTAACAGTGCAGTGCATTGTGGGTAGGTCAGTAGCAGAGAGGACGCCATGTGCCTTTGAGGCAGAGGTCTGACTGTGACAGCAGCGGGTTCTCATTCAGCGGTCTTCAGGAGTTCTTCGCTGCGGATAAAGCCGAGATGTACTGCACCAGGCGCTGCCTCCGGACCGCGCTGCGGGCCGCCGGGAGCACACACCGGTACGTAACGGGTAACAACGCTAGCTAGCTAGCTAGCCAACACCGGAACCACCGAACATAGCGGTGTGCTCATTTACTTCAAGGGCAGACAACAGCTCCTGCTCATATTTGATATAAATAAGATATTGTGATTTAAACTTTAGGAAATACTGAATATAGCCTTTGACAACAGTTAAACGTGGGTTTTATATTTGTGGAATTTTCTTAAGTTAGCTTACAGAGATTAATATTGTATTCATGGAGTTGTAGCTTACGTTTCTAAACGTGCCATCAAATGCAATTGTTCCATGTGTGCTGTTTTTCTCTGTCTGGACCACCTTTAGAAGTATTTCCCTGCATAAACAGAGGTCACGTTCAAGAAACTGGAAGTTATTTTATGATAATTAGACACCCAGAGTAGCTGCACCCCTAAAGTCACATGAAAACAACAAAAGCGTTATCTTAGACGTGGTTCATGTTTTAATAAAGCAATAATGTTATTTTTTACCCAGACGGGATTTTAATTTTAAATGTTAGTATTTGTATGGCACCTTCTTAGGGTTTAGCAACCCCCCAAGGTGCTTTACAGCACAGTCAGTCATTCACACACACATTCTCACACTGATGAGCTTCATTGTAGCCACAGCTGCCCCGGGACACACTGATAGAAGCGAGACTGCTGAACACTGGCGCCGCTGGTCCCTCTAACTACCATCAGCAGGCTAGGCGGGTGAAGTATCTAGCCCAAGGACACAACAGCAGCATTCTCTGATGGGAGCCAGGATCGAACCCAGTCTTCCAGTTAGTGGACAACCCACTCTACCTCCAGAGCTACTGCAGAGGATTTTCAAAATGAACCTCCATTCAACAGCTGAGAATCGCTTTTGGAAAGATTTGCATAAACTAGAAAAAGAGCCAAAGAGTTGGGGTTAGAGTGGGTTTTAACAAGATCTACAATTTGCTGACCTGGATTGTATGTGTAAATGTATTCCAGGTGCAGTGATTTAATCACCTTGCATTCATGTTTCAGACAACAGCTTCAGCAGCAGACGCCAGCCTTGTGTGCTCTCAGATATCTGAAAACCAGTCAAGCCACCAGGTCAGATGCCATTGCCACGCCTCCACTAGATGGAGCACCCAAGCAGTATGCTCCAAAAATCCATCAGCTTGTCAACGACATAGCCAGCCTCACTCTGTTAGAGGTGTCAGACCTCAACGAGCTCCTTAAGGTTAGAACACATCTCCTTTAACAACATGCAAGTCTGAGTAACAAATCTGGGGGTGATTTGTGTTGGATAACCACGTTTGGTCCTCCACAGAAAACACTGAACATTCAGGATGTCGGTATGATGCCTATGGGGGCAATGGCTGCATCTGCTGCACCTGCTGCTCAGGTACAAACAGTTTCTCTGATTATGGTTAAAGGAAAAGTCACCAGAACAATATAATATACCGTAAATCCTCTAATACAGGCCGGTATTCAATTAAAGGACGGGTCTCCAATTTTGGCCGGTGTCGGAGTCGGCGGAGGTGAATAAAGGCCGGTCTCTTATTGTGGCCGGGTGGAATGTGGTAACAAGCAAGTGGGGGGGGGGGGGGGGTCATGTCTCACTTTTGATTTGCCAGTGATAGACCGCGAGGGTAACTTTAACCGTGCGGAGACAAAGAGGAGGCTGTGCCAGAGCGATGGTACTGACACGCGATCGTTCATGTCTGTTCATTTCCTTTAATGTTTTCTGTCTTTTATTTGCGCCTGATGTGTTTCGCTGCTGTGGAGCGGGGCGCTTCACCTTGTCCTCGGGTGACGCACCGATCACTGATGCGGCCGCCAAGCAGGGAGCGCTCCGCTGTTTTAGCGGTCGGTAGATCTGCCTCCTGAGCACGGCCACAGTAACAATCAGGTGTTGCCAAATTATTTAACACGCGATCGTTCATGTCGGTTCATTTCCTTTGATGTTTTCTGTCTTTTATTTGCGCCTGATGCGTTTTGCTGTGGAGCGGGGCGCATCAACTTGTCATCCGGTGACGCACTGATCACTGATGAGGCCGGCAAGCAGCGAGCACTCCGCTGTTTTTGCGGTCGGTAGATCTTTTAGAACTGCAGTTCAAAGGTAACTCATGAGGTGAATATCTATGAACCCAGGTAGCAGTTTTTCTTTAGGATTGAGAGGAGATGCAGGAAGATAATAAACAGGCAGGACAGAAAAATAGTAAAAAAAAAACAAGTTAGTTTTTGTACCTGCTGGTTGCAACAAACAGACACCATTGAAGGTAATCAGAAGTGAGGAACAGAAAATGAAATAATTATTTTAATGTTTAGAGCAGCAGGAACTCTGAGAGGCTGCAGGCGCATCAGTGAGTTTGCAGCCGCTGCAGCAGGGGGAGGGGGGAGAGGGCTGAAGCAGAAACTACCGTTGTTAAAAGAAATGTGTTTAACTTTGAAAATGTGGGCTCAATTTTAATTGTCAAAAACTCCAACGAACCATTAGTTCATTTTGCTCAAATAGAAATAGAGGCCTGCCTCTAATACTGGCCCTCCTTCCAATAAAGGCCTGGAGCTTGATGAGCTTGAGTCAAATACAGGCCCGGGCCTGTATTAGAGGATTTACGGTAATCTGAAACAACAGGTCAAATCAACAAGTCATGTTTATGTTGAAAAAGTTTGTTTTTGAAGTAGCTAACAAAAGTATCACGTTTTATTTTTCTTCTTGTAAAACAAGGCTGCAGATGATGAGGAGGCTCCCGTCAAAAAGGAGAAGACACAGTTCACAGTAAAACTGACAGAATTTAACGCAGCTGAAAAAGTTAAACTTATAAAAGAAGTAAAGAACTGCATCCAAGGCTTGAACCTGGTGCAGGTAAGTGAAATTCTCTCCTTTTATGTCTCTTGTGGCCGTTTTATCAATTCTCTGCTGTGTCACAATCTAATGGTGTCTGAACTGTGTGCTAAATTAAGCTAAGCTAACCCTAACCCAGGGATTCCCAAAGAGGGGTGCGCGAGGTGAAAAGTGTAATGGCTGCGGAGCTCAGAGAAGTCTGTCAAATGTCACCATTAGCGTAGCCAGAAACTCATTTGTGGGTGGGCCTAAGAAAAAGTAAGTGGGCACAATAAATGTAATTGAAAACAGGTAGATTTTTGCGTGCGCGCGCGCGTGTCCTCCACATGTGCCCTAGCATCATAATAACAACGCGCCGAGCTTCAGCGCCCTGGCCTGCGCACGCCGATATGTTCCGTATTTGATCATTTTTAACGGTGTTGGAGGAATCTGAAGGTGGTGAGTCATTCTGGCAGATTGTAATTAACACCTGTCTCATGCAGGTGTTCTGACTAGGGATGGGTACCTTTGACATTTGAATCGATCCGGTACTAATTCCCGGTACCTACGAATCGATACCGGTACTTAACGGTACCAATTTTCGATACTTTTGAGTGTTTAATATTTGAATTCTCTTTTATAATTAGATATATATTTTTCTCAATGTATAACCATATTTGATAAATATCACGATAAATAACATACAACTGATGTATTTTAACATCGTCCTTGTAGTTTTATAAGCTGATAATTAAACTGAAGCAAACATCTTTACTGTGAACTAAATTTACTGTGTATCTTCATTCCTTTTGCCGTCTTTTTTCATTTGATTTTTCCTACTGGGAAGTTAGAATTTCCGAGGAGAAAGCGAATGCACCATTAGCTGATAACAATGGTGGCAATGGAAGCTAACATATCAAGCTACGTTATCTTAAACAGTTTATTTAGCTGCTGGAACAGATTTAAACGATGATGCCTCACACTTAGATCGTTGTCACTGGTTTCATCTTCACCCAATCACCCGTCGCATTTAGTAAAGTGAAGCCAAACTTTAGAGCGCGTTCATGTTCTTCTAGTCGGAAATTCTGAGTTCCGAGGAGAAAGCGAACGCACCATTAGCGAAACGGAAGCTAACATATCAAGCTACGTTATCTTAAACAGTTTATTTAACTGCTGGAGCAGATTAAAACGATGATGCCTCACACTTAGATCGTTGTCGCTGGTTTCATCTTCACCCAATCACCCGTCGCATTTAGTAAAGTGAAGCCAAACTTTAGAGCGCGTTCATGTTCTTCTAGTCGGAAATTCTGAGTTCCGAGGAGAAAGCGAACGCACCATTAGCGAAACGGAAGCTAACATATCAAGCTAACATTATCTTAAACATTTTATTTCCCTACCGGAGCAGATTAAGATGAGGATATCTCACTTAGATCGTTGTCGCTGGTTTCATCATCACCCAGTTACCCATCACATTTAGTGAAGTGGACCCAAGCTTTAGCGTGCGTTCTTTCTACCATGCTGCTCTGTTTCCAACTGGCTCGCAGCGAGCGATGACATAACGCTCTTGCGCATGCGCAGCTGTCTAGCTCAGTGGACTAGTGGTAGAGTGTCCGCCCTGAGACTGGGAGATCAGGGTTCAATTGCTGGTCGGGTCATACCAAAGACCTTGAAAAAATGGGACCCAATGCCTCCCTGCTTGACACTCAGCAATAAGGGTTGGATTGGGGGGTTAAACCACCAAATGGTTCCCGAGCGCGGCTGTGTCTGCAGCTCACCGCTCCCCCAGGGGATGGGTCAAATGCGGAGAACAAATTTCGCACACACATTAGTGTGTGTGACAACTAGGGCTGGGCAAAAAATTGATTTAATCTATTTATCGATTTTGTAGTTTAAAACGATTTTTATTTTGCAAACTCGAATTTTTTGACACTAAAGTTTTTTTCGGACTTTTCCGCGTTTTGTCCTTGTTTTGTTGCCGTAGCGCGATATGAGCCAGCCGCCGCCCGCCTCTGCCTACACAGTCAAAACAACATGGCAGCGGCAGCGTGTAGCAGAGAACTACTTCCAAAGAAAGGCACAAGTAATTCCGTAATTTGGAACTGGTTTGGTTTTCATCCAGCAGACGAAACACAGACGAAGCCTTGCTGCAAAATATGTTTCAAAACTGTTGCTACTGGAAGCAGCAGTACAACAAATCTTTTTCAGCACCTGAGGAATAAACATCCCGAAGAATGGGAGAAGTGCAGCCGGCTCCGCAGCGACAGCGGCTCCTCTAGCACACCTGCTAAAAAGCAGACTACACTTCCTGAGAGCTTTACAAACTGTGTACCTTATGACAAGAACAGAGCGCGATGGAAAGCGATTACAGAGGCGGTCACTTTTTATATTGCCACAGACATGCTGCCGACTTACTCTGTTGAAAAGCGAGGCTTTAATCACTTGCTGAAAGTGTTGGATGCGAGGTACGTTGTCCCCAGTCGCAAGTATTTCGCCGATGTAGCGCTGCCTCACCTGTACAATACAACCCGGGAAAAGATCCGCAGTGAGCTGGAGGAGATGCAGTTCTACTCAGCCACAACGGACCTGTGGTCCAGCCGGACGATGCAGCCATATCTGAGCCTGACGGTTCACTACATCAACACTAGTTGGACTCTGCGCAGCATCTGCCTTCAGACAGCGTATTTCCCCGACAACCACACTGGTGAAATAATTGCCCATGGCTTAAAAGACGCTCTCAGCTCCTGGGGACTTTCGGAGGAACGACTCGTCTGCATGACAACTGATAGTGGCACCAACATCATAAAAGCTCTTAAGGACAACAACTGGCCCAGCCTGCAGTGTTTTGGCCACAGACTCCACAACGCTATAGGTAAGAGTTGGTGTAAAAATAAATAGGTGCACATACTTGTACATTGTAAAGCACTGTTTGCTTGTAATTTAATAGCCAGAATATGGTATATATTTCAACTGGTTTACACACAGACTGGGTTACATAAATAAACCTGACTTTTCCTTAATCTGCATTATGCATTAAACTGTGTTACAGCTATTAAAATTGTGATAAAAGTACAAAACAATTGTAATGCAGTTTAAGCTTGGCGTGACAAAAAATATACTAAATGTCTTCACATTTATTTCAGAGAGTGGTGTGAAGGATCCAAGGATCGATCGGGCCATAGGGGTCTGCAAAAAAGCTGTATCCGCCTTCTCCTACAGCTGGAAAAAAAGGCGAGACATGACAGAGGTGCAGGCTGAGCTTGGACTTCCCCAGCATCTTTTGATCTCAGAATCCCCAACTCGTTGGGGGTCTCGTCAAAAGATGATTGAGCGCTTTCTTGAGCAAGAGAAGGCAATAACTCGTGTCCTGGGTGCAGACAAGAAAACGCGTCATCTTGTTCCCACGTGGCAAGATTTGGAAGTATTGGAAGCCACCAACAAAGCAGTGAAACCTCTCCAGGACTTCACTGATGCGCTGTCAGGGGAGTCATATGTCAGTGTGTCATGCATCAAACCGGTGCTGCATTTGTTTAAAACAAGTCTCCTCCTGCCAGAGGAGGAAGATTTGGAGCTAACAAAAACAATCAAAGCTAACATCATGCGTTACCTTGAAAGTAAATACTGTGATTTGGAGAAAGAGGAACTTTTGGACATGGCCACACTTTTAGACCCGAGGTTCCGTACAACCTACATTGATGCAAGCAAACTGGAAGTTGTCAAAAAAAGAGCGGTGTCTGAGATCTCTGCTCTCTGCAACTCTACCACAGAGGAAGCTGGTCCCTCAGCTGTTCAAGAGAACACCCCGCCAAAAAAGAAAATGACTCTTGGTGCCTTCTTTAAAAAATCTGCACCATCCACCATGCTACACCCACAATCTGAGAAAACAAAAATTGAGACTGAGCTTGCGACGTATTTACTTATTCCAGACATTGAGCCAGACACAGATCCTCTTGAATGGTGGAAGCTTCATCAGCCCAACTTTCCAAGACTAAGCTTACTGGCTAAAAAATATCTTTCTGTTCCAGCCACTAGTGCCCCCTCAGAGAGAGTATTTAGTGTAGGTGGAGGAATAGTTACCTGCAACCGGGCCTGCCTTAAGCCAGATGTTGTGGACAGGCTCATCTTTCTTGCAAAAAATGTTTAGAATGAGCATGCACAGTTTTTCAGAGATCTAACAAGCACATATTTTGTTGTTATAAACGTTTACAGATTTGTTCATTCTTTGAGCAGGCTATATGTCTGCCACAGGCTTGTTTCATTTTTGTATTCACACTATACTGAGATTTTTATTTTTTTGGTAATTTTATGTTACAAAATTTTTATTAATGTGTTTTCTTGAACAGAAAATTTAAGCTACTGTGAAGCTGTTGCACTTTTGTTTAAACCTGGGTTAAAGCTTGAAATTGTTGAATGACAGAGCCTCATTTACTTTTTGTTTTGGGATTCTACGCAGTTTAACTCTTGAGGACAATCATAGCAATAAAGTTGCACTTTTGACACTATATCTGATGTCTGCAGCCATTTTTTAAGTGCATTGGGGAAAAAAATCGAATCGAAACTCGAATTTTTCTTCAAAAATCGAAGATTTTTTTGGGGGGCAAAATCGCCCAGCCCTAGTGACAACTGATGGGACTTTAACTTTAACTGTCTAGACAAGTTCTCGTTGTGAAGGACGGGTACCGAAACGAGGCACCGTTTCAAATGACGTGAATCGGTGCTCGGTCGGTCGGTACTGTGGAATTCGGTCGGTACCTTAAAAAGTACCGAATTCTGACATTGTAAACCTCACACATAGAACACAGTGGATGTAACATTCAGGCTATTAACAGCCTCATGGCTATATCTTTTATATACATATATATATAGCCATGCCCTGATGTGGGGGCTGGGGGGTGCATAGAAGGGGGTGCGCGGCTAAATAAGTTTGGGAACCACTGCTCTAAGCCATCCTTATCAATTATTTGTTTTGGTTCTAAAAACACATGAATGTGACTTGATGCATCAAAAGTCTACACAATGTACAGCTGTACTGATAGATGGGGGGGGGGGGGGGGGGATTTTTACAAAATTATCAAAAGCCAATGAAAACAAAAGTAGAAAATACAAAGCACAGAAACAACAGCCCAATTAACCTGATGGCAAACGGTGAAAATGCTAAATCAACTTTGATTTAAAACTCTGCACTGAAGCAGACCGCCTACTGTCAGGTGGTAGTTGGTCACATGGTCCGGGGGCAAACACAGAGAAAGCCCGGTCCCTCCTGAGTCTTCTGTCTTGTTCTCTGAACCACCAATAAGTCCTGCTCAGGTGGCTGGAGGGTTTTTAGTCACCAGTGAAGAAATGAATGGAGGTGCCGTACCTGGCGGAGACCTGAAGACATGGACCTGTAGTTTGACATAAATCCTGAACTGGACAAGGAGCCATCACGGGAGTCTGTAAGCTTCCCGAGACAAACTGGGTCACATGCTGCACCCGGAGAGTCATATTTGAGCAAAGAATTAGACATAGGTCCGACTCTGTTGAGCTTTATGCAGCATGTTTATAGTGTCAGAGCAACTAGAAGCTGCCCATCTGCCTCCCTGCGGTACTAGCTTGGTAATTTTGTAAAATCTTGTTTCCCTCATTTCTCATCAGGCTAAGAAGCTAGTGGAGTCCCTTCCTCAGGAAATCCGTGCTAACGTATCCAAGGAAGAAGCAGAGAAACTGAAAGCGGCACTGGAGACAGCAGGAGGCACTGTGGTGTTGGAGTAAATTCACTCTGCTGGTTATGTACTTCGTCCTTCATGTCATTGTTCTTTTTTACAAAAACTAAGAAGAGAAAAGGATCATCAGAAACCGAGGAAACAAAGAAATGCCTTTCTTATGTGCATCTTTTAGTAGTGTTTGGTGGGCGGTACAACTCAGACTGATCTTTCTAATGACTACCACGCTGTTTACAGTTCTGATTTACAGCAAACAGGCTACGCAGATTCTGGCCTGGAAACCATCAGCTGGTCGTTCTGTAAAGCTGATCAACTTTTCACTAAAGAACGGTTTGAGCTGTAGGAGCGTGGTTACAGTCCATGTACTATTATATTTGTTAATGTCATTAAAACCAAAACGTCCTTCTAACATCCTCTCTTACATGGTGTGGTGTGCGCTATTTGTGTTGGACTCTAATAAGATGTTACAGGATTATGAAAATGATGCTGTTGCTGCAGTTTGACAACAGTGATTAAGGCTCGAAGGTGACATTGGTGCTGAATTAGAGTTCTGGAGATTATCACAGAATGCCACTAGATGGCGCTGTAGTCTGCACTATAATAAAGTGATTCAGTGGTTTTGTAAAATATTTTTAGCTGTTGGAAACTAAAGTGATTAAGTATGGAGTCAATCACAGAGCACAAAGTAAAATTAGTATCGGTAATTATTAGAAATGTTAAACCAGAACCAAAAAGCTTTTAATGGCACTGTCAGCAAGCAGACAAGGAAACAAGATGAAGTATGTCACTATGTACAACTTTCACTCCTGGTTTATAGGAACAATATAATGTTTTATAATATAAAATCTCTTGAAAATGCCATTGATCAGTATTTAGATGAACGCCTATAAATGCATGAGAAATCGCTTCAATAATGGGTCAATTTAAGGAAGTGTGGATAAACTGGGATTATAACATGGTATATTTTTATATTAGTCAAACACACACACACACACTCCTTCCACAAACCAGCTGCACTTATCTTGGTACAGAAATGTTGAGTAGGTCTGGAGGTTGGGCTGCTCAGCCTTGTGCTCTACCAGAAATGTTCATTCCAGGTATTTATATGATTTCACCACCTGTTGAACAAGTCAAAAAGGGGAAAGTTGTCCTTTTAGGCCTCGTGTGAAATCCATTGAAATCATGATGAAAAAAATGCAACTTTTTTGCGCCATGCAGTTCAGAGAAGGTATTGCAGCTACGGTGGCCCACTCATGAGTTTGAATGTAATCAATTTCCAACCTGTCCTGCCTAACCCACACAAAACTTAAAACTAGCCACTCGACACTCTGGAGATCAAGTAAACAATGCTGACTTGGCCATCAGCTAATTGTGGCTCACGGCTGGCGTGGTGGAGATGGGCATCTCGAGCTACTTGTTAGCATGTAGCAGGGGTAAGAAGTGAGCACCACCGCACCCCTGCTACGTGGACCTCAAGGGATAAACCATCAATCCTGCTCAGTGGTCAACTTTCCTCGCTGGGTCACCCATGAAGACAGTGGGAGGGTTAAGGAGACTCTGAAGTGTTTTTTTTAACAACAAGCAGGAACATCTGATTATGGCGGGTATATTGGTAGAGTCTTCAAGTGCATCTGCCTCCCTAACACACCCTCTGGATTTGATTAAGGTTGGATAGCGAGAGCTGAAGTATTCTGTTGTAACAGACTTTTAGGCCTCACTGATGCACATAGAGGTTTCAAACATGAACATGTGGAATATTTATTTAAGAAAATGTTAATAGAACTACTCAAGGGTGTCAGAAGCATTAAAACGTGTGTGTGTGTGTGTGTGGGGGGGGGGGGGGGGGGGGTGTCTGCCTCCCTTGAAATATTCAGTAGAGTAGATGTCATTTTCTGCCTTCTGGTGCATTTTAACAGGTTATTATTGGGTATTGTTTTTAGATCAACAGAAATATGTTAACTTTAAAAACAAACAATTATCAGTAAAATAGCATCAATCTAAAAAACATCATGAAAGGAAATGGTTGGCCTAGTTGGATTTGTTTGAACCCAATGGTCACATTTCTGAAATGTGTTGGCGCATGAAGCAAGTGCAGAAAATGCTGCAACATAAAAAAATTCTGAACTTCCAATAAAATTTGAGACGTTTGTTATTTTCTTGCTAATAACAAAAACACCAGCAGGAGGCTGTGGGCGGAAGCAGGATTTAATGGTTTGATCACTAACCAGCTATCTACAAACCCACTAACCTGTCCTGCGGGGACATTTTGACTTTTGTTATCTCCTTATGTCCTCTGTCTCTCTGGGCAGGAGCTCCAAGTCTACTTTGCCTTGGGCCCCAAAATGTGTTGAAACGGCCCTGGGTGTGGGATCTGAATTGTATCAATATATAAATATTACAAGCTTATAAATGATTGCTTTAGACAGTTAAAACGTGTGGTGGGATAAATGAATTTTTCCTTTTTAATTTTATTTTCTTGATTTAAAAAAAAACTTCCTGTGTCTTTTATCTTCCTGCATTTCCTCTCAGTCCTGCTGAGGCTTCCTACTTTTTCACCTCATGAGTTACCTTTGAACCGAGTAGATCACAGGGATCTACCGGCCACAAAAATAGCGCAGTACGCGTTGCGCCAGTGAGGTGAAGCCACCAGAGCACGGGTGTTGAGCGCCGCAGCAGAGGAGCGCATCAGGCACAAATAAAAGACAGGAAATACCAGATAATATGAGCAGACATGACAGATTGTGTGCTGATTATATATTTTTTGGGTGGCACCACTTTGAGCTGATTACTCTGTGCCCGTGTGCAGGAGCGCATCAACATTCAGCGTTCTCTGTCCTCTCCACTCAATAGAATCCCTCATTTGCTGAGAGTCCAATAGATAAAGTAAGACAGGTAGAAGCATGATCTTTTTTTGGGCTCCCCCAAAACTATAAACTCTAGGACTCCTCCCCCAGCCATGGTGATTGGCTCCTGAACTTTCTGACATGTATGTCAGCATTACTACAAACATTGGTGTCCCTCGTGTCCATCTCTTTATGTCCACAGTGGACACACACATCCAGCAGGATAATGCATCAAGTTCCAAAAATCAGGTCATCTCAAACTGGTTTATACAACATGATGAGTTCACCGTGCTCCAATGGTCACCAGATCTCAATCCAGGCCAGAACCTCTGGGAAGTGGTGGAAAAGGAGAAATCTTCAATACAGATTTTATTTATGGCAACTGGCTGATGCCATCATCTCATTATGAACCAAAAATATCTGAGGAGTGTTTCAAATATCTTGTTGTTTCTATGATATAAGAACAACAAGAACTGCAACGGACTGGAAATCTGTCCAGGGTGTATCCCGCCTGTTTGCCCGGAGACTGCTGATGATAGGCCCCCCGCAACCCTGCATGGATAAGTAGGTATAAAATGAATGGAATAAGAGTAGTAAGTGATCAAATGTTATTTTGTAGAAAGTTTAGACTCATGACTGAACTATTCTGGTTTCACTGGTCAAGCTGTGCACTGGTTTCAGATGGAAACGACTCTTGCTTGTTTCCTGACACCTGCTCAGATGTGCAGCTGTTCTCAGTTCAGGTGTGACTGAGACTCTGCCCATAATTTCCAGGTGCACTTAGAAACGCAGCAGGAGGTGAGGGTGAAGATGATGGAGAGCACTGTGAAGGTGGTGGGAGGTCATCCGGTTATCACCAGTGGCCTTGGTGCCAAGCTAGAATGGAACAGGAATGTTTCTGATATGTTCACATACTTTTTCCCCTTAAGATGAGAGACGACCTATTCTCTGTCACGGTTTGCTGATTTGAACGCATACAGAAACAGGATGAAGAGGACAAACAAAAGTCTCCAACCAGAAAGTCCCACTTGGTGCATTTGGATGCATTTGAATTAAACACATAATTAAAGTTAACTAGTAAATTTATTCAATTATTTTAAATAATGCAATTTCTCCAAAAGGGTTCATAAGAGGCCGAACTGGGACTTCAGCTGTTTTAGAGAAGGTTTAACGAGTTCACTGAACAGATTTATTTATGTCATAATAAAGACGTTTGATCTGCCATGCCACTATAATTTAATTCAGAAGCATTTTTATCCTAATGATGATGATTCTTGCTGATAAAGGATCTATAACTTTTCATTCTCCCATCATGAGACGGTGGCACAGGAGTTAAGTGCTCGCCTCGCAATCGGAAGGTCGCAGGTTCGAGACCCGCTCAGTCTGTCGCTGCTGTTGTGTCCTTGGGCAAGACACTTAACCCACGTTGCCTGCTGGTGGTGGTCGGAGGGACCGGTGGCGCCAGTGCTCGGCAGCCTCGCCTCTGTCAGTGCGCCCCAGGGCAGCTGTGGCTACATCGTAGCTCATCCCCACCAGTGTGTGAATGTGTGTGTGAATGGGTGAATGACTGATTGTGTTGTAAAGCGCCTTGGGGGGTTCCAGGACTCTAGAAGGCGCTATATCAAATACAGGCCATTTACCATTTACCATGCAGGCTGACATAAAGCTGCTGTTAGAACTCAGACCATGTTATAATGAGAACACAGCAGGTTCTCCATAGCTACTGACAATTATACATCCTTTCATATAAGTGGCCACATTAAGCATGTCAGCTATGCTCACATGCCTGATGGACTATCACGACTGTGGAAGGAAGGTGAGATTTGTGAAAGCTGTCTTTCATTTGTTCCACAGGAAATTTTCAGCTAGAAATGAGTAAAATGATCTCTTTAGTTACCCCAAAGATGGCATGTTGACCAGGGTGAATACAGTGCTCAGCATAAATGAGTACACCCCTCTACATTTGTCAAAAAACCTTTAGTTTCCTTTCAGAATCAACATTTTCTATGAGATACCAAACTACTAAATACCCCCACAAATGTGGGCCGTTGATTGCAAACAAGATGTGTTTATTTGCACAAATGAAAAAGTGATTTTCCTAACAAATCCGTTTAAGCGCATGTCGGAAAAATGAGTACACCCCCTTACAGTCTTAGGAGAAAAGCCACACTTGAGACTATAAAATTAGAATGAACTGACATTCAACCACAGGTGAGTCTAATTATTCTTTTAAGAAGTGTCCAGCAGCAGCAGACAGGTGAGAGCATTACTTACCAAAGAAAAGCCCTTCCTATTTCATGCTTTCTGCAATGGCTCCACATGGAAGAGAAACATCAGAAAATATGAGAAATTAAATTATCATCATCATCTTTATTCATGTAGCCTCCGGAAATGGTCTGTTTTTCAATCTACAGGTCACCTCTTCAGTATCGGGCCAAATGGAGACATAAGTCTTAACTGGTGCTTTAATCTGCAAGAAGATACTGCTGCCTCACCAAGGTCTTTCCAAGCTCACTCTTATCTAAGACTGGTTTTTATTCACAGCACAAGACCGATGAACTTTCAAAATTAAATCATA